CTTCAGGCCCTTCTGGTCCTCCCCACTGCTGGACTGTGGGCGATTTGTGGGGTCAGGCCCTCGCCACCCACAGAAGTCACTGCTCCTGCTGGAAGTTGTGCTCCTGTGTGGTGAGGGCACTGGAGGAAAAAGGTATCTCCAACTGCACACAGCACAGCTATTGCTCCCTCCCCAGGCTTGTTGGGGCCCCCCAGGCTTGCCAACCAGGTCAAATGACCCTGTGCTGGGCACTGACTGTTGTCCCCACTGCCCAGCCTGACTCCTCCTGCGCTAGCCCTGGCTCAGGGCCCCAAGAAACAGACAGCCCTGGGGTCCTCCTGGGGAGGGCTGGGGGGAGCTGGCTCACACTCCCTGATAAAGTAAAAATAGTTGGGGAGGAGGCGCCCAGACATGCGGGGGACAGTTGCTTCTCTCAGACGTTTAAATAATCTCAGCCATATGTGTGTGGGCCTGTCCCTCCCTCCTGGAGCTGCGCTGGGCCAGGGGCCGGGCTCATCCCGGTGGGTGTCACTGTGGGGCTAGGCAGGGCCACTTCCTCCTTCCTTCTTTCAACCCCAGGCACTGTTTAAGGGTCTGCTGCCTGCTGATCTGACCTGCGGGAGATCAGGAGGCCTTAGTCCCCCATGTTCTATGCTGAGTAGTTAGGAGGTGGAGGCTAAGGTCCAGGGGTGGGTCATTTGTTGTGGTGTATGGGCCATGGGTGAGTGGGGACCCTTTCCCACCCTTCAGGGTGCTGGTCTCCCCTGGCTGTCCCAGGTGTCTGAGACACCTGTAAGTAGAGTGGCCATGGATGGACCCTTTGGAAGGTTGGTCAGGAAGGCAAAGAGGCTTCAATGAGGGAATACAGATTTGTTATGCAGCGTGGAGCCACAGCTGCACTGGACAGGGAGGAGGGAGACTGTCCCCATGCCCAGCCCTGTCTGTGCTCACTAAGTGGAGGTGAGTGGATAGGGCATGCCTGTCCTGTGTGTGAGAGATGTGTGTGGGGGGCCCTGCTGCACCCAAAGTTACCCCTGTGCTTGTGTGCACACGCCGTGAAGCCTGTGGGTATAATTTGTGGATTTTGTTAGAGGATTAAATTGATTTTCCAGCTTTCCCTGGGGAGAGGTGGAGCTGTTGAGCTGCCGCTGGCCTCTTGTTGATGGCAGCCACGAGACCGTGTTGCTGCTGTGTTGGGACAAGAAGAAGCTCCACCACAGGAACAAAACCACACAGTGCTGCCCTGGCTTCCGACAGTGCAGGCTCTTCCTTCTTCCAACAGCTGCATGGGCTCGGGAAGAAGGAGCCAGGGCTGCAGGGATGTGACTTTTAGCAATTGGAGAATTGAGGTGCAGAGATGCAGTGTCTATGGTAGGGAGGTTGGGGCTCTCATTTTCTGACAGCTGCCAGGGCCAGCAAGTGTGGGACTGAGCTGAGAAGGAGGATCACCGGGAGTAAATGTGGGACCAGAGGTCCAAAGAGCCCTCCCTATATGCTCTCCCAGCTTCAGAGTGTCTCTGTCCATCCGTCTGTCCTGCAAAGCTGGTCACCAGGATCTCTAGGATGGGGCAATTGTTGGCCAAACTCTGGCATCACACCAGTGCTGACAGTTGTGCAGGCATGAGCTGCCTTCACTTCCCAGAGTAGACAACATAGCCTTGGCTCTCCTCTTCCCACCTGCTTGCTCCTCCTCGCTTGCACTTGTCCAGAGAATGCCTACTGTGTGCTGGGTACAGAAGAGGGACAGAAGAGGGAGCAGGCCCTTGAGGTCCTTGCCTGAGGTGCACCCTTGGGTCAGCCAGAACTCCAGGGTCATGAAGGAGTCATGGGGATCAGAATGGAGTACTGGGGGAGGGGAGTGGTCACTGGTGTGTGTGGGCATAGCCAAAGGACAGGAGATAGGGGAGTAGTGAATCAGGCCCTGCCTCTCCCTGGCCAGGGTTGCCTGCCCCCACCTGGTCTGGGGTGATTGGGGCAGGTCTGTCCCCCATGGGTTGGAGCCAGGTGCAGTCACTCCTCTCCTACCTGAGCCCTGCACGGCCAGACAGGGAGGCTGCATAGGTGACCTAGTTCAGCCTCAGGTAGGAGCCTATGCTGCTTGGAGATATGGACCATGGTTGGAGCCTCATAAGAAGTCACAGAGCTGTGCACAGATTCCTCAGTGGCCCCTGTTGGTTCTCAGGGCAGCTGGTGCCCAGCCTGGGACAGGCAGGGTAAGCTCAAGGGCCCAAGCCAAGGAGGAAATAGTGAGGCTGAGCCCAGCCCAGGTATGCAGCCCAGTCCCTGCATGACCTTTTTACATGGGATGCTGGCCATCTTCTGGCCTCCACGGGTCACACTGGTCTTCTGTCAGGCAACACCTGAAGTGGTGGTTTCACTTGGGTCCCACATGTGACTCTGGGGCTGTGGCTTATATTGGGAGGGGGCAGAAGAGCTTTCCTCACTCCCTGTACTTGGATCTGTGCCAGGACTGAGGGGTGGGAGGGCTGGGGTGGGCCACCAGGCTTGGGGTTTAGGACCTGCCAGGTGTCAGTGGGCTCAAGCCTTGTCAAGTCAGAGGCTCAAGCCTCACACACACCTGGGTGTGGCCCCTGGCTCTGCCTGGCCTTGCCTTCAGCTATACTATGGGGCCCCACAGCTCCCCAGGACCCGACACAACCCTGCCGTGCCCCTGCCTAGGCCCTGGCTTGCTTAGTGCTGTGTGCTGTGACTGCCTGTACCTCCCACTGTCAGAGGTAGACAGGGGTCACCTTGGTTCCTGGTCAATGTCAGGGGCCTCATCAGAGGAGCCCCGTATCGGGCCAGATTAGCTGGGCCTTCACCTTCCTGGTCATGGAGGATTATGGCTTAAAGCCCCTGAGGAGGGGTCAGGGAATCTGAGGTGTGGGGGCTCAGGCCTGCATTGAAAGGGGGGGACTGGTGTCAGGCCCACTTAATCTGTGTCCCCCTGGGTCCTTGTCCAGAAACTGACCCTTCCCCCACCAACAGTAGGAGGCCAACATGTGGCTGAGAGCTGAGGGTATGATCTGAGGAATGAGGAGGACAGGGGTGGCCAGCCCTGGGGAGCTCTGGGGGCAGGGCAGGAGCATCCCCAGATGGGGCTAGGCCAGCTGGAGGGACATCTGATGGAATGTGGGCAGAAGTGAGGGGAAGGTGGCAGTGTCACTGTAGACATAATGTCACCCATGCCTCTGTGCCCAGGGTATATGCTAACCAGTCTTCCCAGCCTTACTGTCCTGATGGCCTCAGGACCTCTAGGTTCTGGGTCTTGCCACTTCCTGGGGGTCCAGTGCTCTACCTCCACAGGTGACTATGTTGTTGGGGCTTCTGTGGCCTTCTCTCTGGGGATTGTCAGGACTTATGTCCCTTCCTGTCCCAGTGGCTGATGGTTCCTTAATCTGATTCAAGGCAGAAAGGGCAGGCTGCCTGCCGGCCTCCAGTGAGCAAATAAAGCAGGGCCTTTGGCCAAGGCCCCTAACTGGGTTCTGGGTTTGAGGTGATTACATCAGATCTGGCCCTGTGGGTCTTGGTTCTCTATGGCCAGGCTTCCTATTGCCCAGGACACAGGGAGAGGCAGGCCAACAGGGTGGGCTGGGGCGGGAGGACCAGGGGTCCTGGTCACAGTGGTTGCTGTGGCTGTGAGGCATGGATGCCAGTAGGGGCTTCAGGGTACTGCTGCACCATGGCCAGGTCCCTGTAGGGGGGACCTGACCAGCGGAAGGCAGCTGGGAGGCTACAACCATGGAGCAGCGGATCTGTCATGGATTCCTCCTCCCAATCCAGGGCCTCCCAGAGATCAAGGGCTACCTGTGGCTAGTGTGTCTTCCACTGGGGTCCATGGCCAGCTACTGGGTAGGTGGGTAGGTCCGCCCTGAGCTGGACCCCCTCTCTGTCAAGTGGCTGTCACAAGGGATCAGCTTACCCAGGCATTGCTAGATGTAGAATGCAGCAACAAATGCCCTGGGCAATGAACTGACTCCCAGCTCTGACCCTGGTGGGTGTGAGGAAAGGTCAGGCTAGGAGGCTAGGCCTTGGGCTGGCAGTGGCACGGGCCAGGGGCCTGGAGCCAGGTGAGGATTTGTAGAAGGCTCAGGGGACCCACACTAGCCGGTGTTGAGAGTCATGGCAGAAACGGTTCCTGTGTCTTCAGTCCAGCTCTCCTGGGCCAGAAGGGGCTGGGCAAGTGGCCCTGCCCTGACTCAGCTCTGGCCTCTGGCTGCAGAGGGCTGGACCCTGGGACCTGAGTTTTGGGATAGCATGCTGCTACTTCTGTCCCTCTTCTAGACTGGCTCACCTTCAGACTGGGGGGATCCACTTGGAGGTCCCCGTAAGTAGAGGAGGAATGGGGGCGAGAGCTTGGCTGGGATGGAGGACAGACAGCAGCCCTGAGCACCCAGTGTGGCAGCATGGCAGGAGACAGCCTCCACACCGGGCCTGGTAATGACTTCTGAGGTTGCAACTGCATTTTTGGGTCCTGGAAGGGTCCCCCATCTGTCTTGCTGTCCTTCCTTAGCCTCAAACATGGGTCTGGTGGCCCAGGGACTGCTCTCTCTTCTCGTGTTCTCCTGGCAGATGGGAGTCCCCCTGGCCTCAATCCTCTGGCCAGCTGGGCTGGATCCCTGCAGGATTAGTACAGGGATTGGCCTAAGAGTGGGCAGGGCAAGGCTCGGCACCTCCCCCAGTCCCTAGGATGAGGCTTCTTCCAGTGCTCCTGGGCCCTAGAGGCTGGGTGGGCTGGCCTAAGGGCTGTCCAGGGCTGCAGGTGGCATTTAAACCAATGCCAGTGGGGCCTAGGAACAGCCCTGGAGGGCGGCCTTAGGGGACTCTGAGGGTGAGGAAGAAGAGGCGGAGGAGAGACAGGGATCCCCAAGGAGCCCTTGTACCCAGCATCACCTCTACCTGGCATGCCTCTGAGGACCTGTGAGCCAGCTGCCAACCATCATTTGGGCATGCCTGGCCCCCAGCCATCTGTTGCCTGCCGGACCACAAGAGCAGTGGCCTGCCTGGCAGATGTGCTCCTCTGGGTTGGAGGGAGCATGGTGGTGTACCCACGGTGGCAGCTCAGCCTCCTAGGTAAGAAGGGCAGAAAAGAGGCCCCACCTGAGGATTGGCTAAACCCCATAGAGCCTGTCTGGGTATCTGGGGAGGTAAGGCTGCTCCTGAAGGTGCAAAAGGCCTGGTCTTCATCTCACCCTGCACCAACTTCTAACCTCCCAGTCCTTTGTGTCTCCCTCTGGGGTCACCAAGATGTAGCCACATTGGCCACCCTGCCCCTCAATCACTCAGAGAAGCCCAGTGAGCCCCTTGTCTCCCAAGCAGGGCCTAGAGGCTGAATCCCAAGTGGGAAGCAGGGCAGGGCTGGGGCCAGGGCCCTGGTCAGATGTACTGGGGAGGTGCAGGTGGCTCCAAAGCTCTTGGTGAAAGGTCCTTGGCAATTGGGGTATGTGTGTGTGTGTGTGACAGTAACTTCAGCCCAGTTAGGGGGAGCTGTATGCTGGTACTGAACACTATGGCCCCTCAGCTTGTAGTGTGGGGAAGACAGCAGCTGGGCAGCAGGTGGGAGGGTCCAATGTGTCTTAGGTGGCCATGGAGGTCCCAGTCAGGGCTGCCTTCCTCACTGGTCTCTGTTCTAGCTGGCAGAAGGAGCCTCATCTAGCTGTCACCTTCCTCCTGTAGGCCTCTGTGGCCTGTCTCTTCCCTTGTCCCCAACCCACTGTGCCAGTAGCCACCCTATATCCTCATTTGCTGTGTCCCCTGGAGAGTCCAGCTTCCCCTTGCACCCTCCATGCCTTCTGTTCCCTTTTGCTTATGGCTTTCTCCAAGAAGTGCCCTGGGCTGGCACTGCCCATGGTCCTCTGCACTGCCACTGCGGGGTCTTTCATTGTGTGGCCCTTGTGAGATTTAGTTACTCTGAGCTTCAGCCCTGAGTCCTGGGTTTTCTGTAGGTGTGCACGTATTCAGGGCCTGCGGTGGGAGACCAGCTGGCACTGGCCTGGATTCTCAAGAGCATACAGCCTCCTCCCCTGGGGCCTGGGACAGGAGGTCAAGTGGATGGGGGGGGTGGTGCAGAGGGCCCTAGGGAAGAGGATAGGTTGTGAACTCAAGCCCAGCACCTGAGTGTCCCAGCTCCCGTGGGGGAGGGTGACCTTCCTGGGGATGCCACAGGAAGGGAGTGTGGCTATGCACGAGTGGAGTTGTGTCTCTCAAGAGAGGCTTGTGGCCTGGGCAACATCCAGGCTGGTCACAGTGGTGGTGCCTGCCTGGGGCCCATCCTATGTCCAGCCTGTGGCCTCTCTGCACAATGGCTCTGAAGAACTAGCCTGGCCCCTGGTCTCTGTCTCCAACTGTAGGCTTTCAGTACTTGCTGTCTGGGTGGTGGCACATTGGGGTTCAGGTGGTTGATGGGACTGGTCCAGGTAGTGGCAGGCGGGACTGTGGCTGAGTTTCAGTTCCTGGGACTTGCCTGGCTTCAGTCTTCAAGGTCATCAGAGGAGATGAGCAGCCCTGGGGGCTGGGCAGGCAGGTGGGTGGCCACTGTGCCCTCCTTGGGCACACAGGGTCTTTTCAAGGAGTGGTGAGGTTGCCACAGTGCTCACGCCTGTCTGTCTGTCTCTGTATCATCTGTCTGTCTGTGTCCAGTGGAACGATGCATGAGTACCATGCAGGAGGGGACCCAGATGGTGAAACTCCGCGGCAGCTCCAAGGGTCTAGTCCGCTTCTACTACCTGGATGAGCACCGTTCCTGCCTCCGCTGGCGGCCCTCACGCAAGAATGAGAAGGCCAAAAGTGAGTGGGCAGACCAGGGAGGGGGACAGGTGGGTCCGAGCCTGGGGAAAGCACTGGACAGAGAGCTCTCCTGAGCAGCCACTGGACAGCTGTGCTTGAGACCCTGCAGCATGGATGTGTCTAGCCTCAAGTGACCTTGGAGTTCTGCAGTGGCCTCTGGACTGCAATGTGAGGGCAGGCCAGGGCTCTTGCCTGACTGTTCCCTGGCAGGGCTCTGGGACTCAGTGGGGATTGTGACTCAGTGCCTAGCCCTGTGCGAAATGCTGGGGTCAGCGAGGGGCAAAGGGCGGTTACCTAGCTTGGGGGTGAAGAGCTTCCTGGAACCAGAGATGGAAACCCCAGCCAAGCACAGAGTGTGAGGCTTGGATGCCAAATGTTGGCCCAGACATACTGGGTGGGAGCACTTGGCATGGGGTCTGCAGCAGCCACCTGAGCTGGACAGCTGTGTGTAAAGGACAGACGGGCAGGGTTGGGGCACACAGAGGATGAGATGGGGGCTTGGGGGTCAGGGAGAGTCATATAAGAGTCTCACAGGTGGGAGAAGGGTCTTGCAGGAACCTCTGGCTTTGCCAGTGGCAGGGCCCAGGTATGCCAGGGCAGGGCCTCAGCCCAGTGGTTGCCAAGGGCACCACCATGGGGCCCCAGGAGAGTTACACTGTCAGAGTCCCAGGAGGACCCATGTGAAGGAGAGTCCCATGGCAAGGGTATTCTGGACTGGATGGCTCCTGCTGGCTCTGGGCCAGGGAGGTGGAACCACCTCAAGGCAGCCCAGGCAGGAAGAGCCCTGACAGTTGGGAGTGACTGCCCTGTGCTGAGTGTCTTGGGGGAACTGTGGTGTGGAGATGGCGTTCTAATGGCAAGGCCATTTCCTACTTGCTGCACAATGTGAGTGAGCCAGTGGGAGGCCAGACAGTGAGGAAGCAGGCAGATGTAGGTCAGCAAGGCCCCTGGGGAAGGGGCGATGGGCAGTCTGAGAAACTGGCAGTTTGAGTCAGGCCCCTTTACCCTCCTCTATCCCTGTAGACCCAGTTGGGGACTTGGAGCCCCCACTCTGCCTTGGAGGGTCCCAAGAAAACAGGGGGAGGAACAGGGTGGGGCTGTCCCTCCCTGGACCAAGTCTGGGGCACATCTCTCTCCATTGCCACACACATACCAAGGAACTAGAGAAAGGCCTACCAGCAGGAGGTGGTAGGGCCCCTGGCTGGGTCAAGCCCTGTGTTCTCGGTGCTGAGGGGATGCTGGGCATCTGTGTCCTGTACAGCTGGGAGGGGGTCCTGCCTAAGGCACAGGACAGATTCTCAAAGCACCTCTGAACTCATTACTCACGGAGACTCAGCTTTTGAGCAGAGGCTCCATGGAGGCTGGACACTGCTGCCGGCCATGAGCTGGGGCACACCGAGCACTTGCAAACTGCTGGATGCCTGCTGCACCCTGCCTCCCCCACTTACTGTGCTGCAGTTTATTACAGAGGTGGCTGTGGGATCTTGCCATGCCTGGCTAGCAATCACCTCTCTTTGGATGGGGAGATGAGCTGGCCGGAGTTGATGAGTGATTTTTGCTGGTCCTGGCACCCACTGTGCGGCTCCAATAAACGGGAGTCCTGAGCCAGCCACACACCTGGGCTTGTCAACTGGAGGCAGGTGGTCTCCCTCCCTCTCAGGTGTGTGTGGAACCACTGGGGCAGGGGCCTCAGACAAGCACATTTGCACTTTGGCTTCTGAACAGCAGAGGAGCCCCCTGTAGATGGGCTCAGCAGGTTGCTTAGCTCCCAGCTCCTGGAGTTCTGGGAGGCTGTGACCCAGTGCCCTCCCATCTGTCCCCAGTCTCCATCGACTCCATCCAGGAGGTGAGTGAGGGGCGGCAGTCCGAGATCTTCCAGCGCTACCCAGACAGCAGCTTCGACCCTAACTGCTGTTTCAGCATCTACTATGGCAACCACCGTGAGTCGCTGGACCTGGTCTCACCCAGTGGTGATGAGGCACGTACCTGGGTCACTGGCTTGCGTTACCTCATGGCTGGTATCAGTGATGAGGACAGCCTGGCCCGCCGCCAGCGTACCAGGGACCAATATCCTTGAACACAATGGCTGAGGACTGACCTCACTGTCCACTGGGTGGAGGTCCCCTGCTCCTTGCTGGGTCACACTTTGCAGGAAGGGGCAGTAGGAAGGGACACGTGGGCTGGGGTCCCTCAGTCTTTGCTCCCTAGGCTGGAGGGTAGGATGGACATGGCTGGCCTGTGGATTTGTGTTGGCCCCTAACTTGGCCCCAAAGTGGCTGAAGCAGACATTTGATGAGGCTGACAAGAACGGAGATGGCAGCCTGAGCATCGGCGAGGTCCTGCAGCTGCTGCACAAACTCAACGTGAACCTGCCCCGACAGAGAGTAAAGCAGATGTTCAGGGTAAGTCCTGAGTGCACGGCTCGGGCCCCTCCCCTGGGGTCCATCCAGGGCTACGGTAGGCTGCAGGCGTGTGGATGCTAGTGGCCAGCCCTGCTGGGGGTATCAGGGGGCCCCAGGTGGGGACATTGGATCTGCACAGGGTGGTCTGCAACACATGAAGGGAGGCAGCTTGGCCAGGACCTATGCAGGGTGGGTAGCCAGAGACCCAGGGTTGGCAACTGTGCCAGGAGGTGCTCTGCCAATTCTAGGGAAGAGGGCTGAGCATGGGGCATACACTCTGTCCAGTTAGGGAGACTATGCTCTCAGCACTGAAACATAGCCATATTCCTCTTCTCAGCCCCTCATGAGCCCTAGTCTAGAGAGGGTGTCTTGGCCCAGGCAGGATTCTTACTAGTGGGCAGCAGCTGTCCTTAGCCACCCCATGCTGCTGGGATCCCCAACCACCCTGGTGTTAGAAGTTATGAAAATGCATCCTTCAGCTGAGCAGTGGCCTCTATTGTCTGTAATTAGTTCTCTTTCTGGAACTTCTGCGGGGGAGAGAAACTCTGCCGTCAGCGGGTCCTGGTTTGGGGCAGGAATGGGCTGAGACAGCAAACCTGGCCCTTGAGATTTGTGCCTTGCTGCAGCCTGCAAAGGAAGTTCTGTGAGCTTGGGCACCAGACCGGCCCCGACACACATGCACACAGGCACGTACACATGTATATACACACAGGCTCTTGGCGTGACAGCTCCTGACAGCTCCTGCCTGTGCTCTCATGCTAGACAGGTGGTCATGCACTGCTGGAGCAATGACAGCAGCTAGCTTAAGGCCTGTACTGTGTGTGCGTGAGAGGGGCATTGAGCACGAGGCTCTCAGATTGCCTGCTGAGGACTATGGGGCACTCACGGGGCCTTCCTGCGGGCACTGGGGAGTGGGGCCTGAGTCTACCTGGGTAGTAGGGGCTGGCAGATGACTCATCTGATGTGAGTGCTCCCCTTCCCACCTGACTGGGGTGGAACATCCCCACTCTTTCAGACCTCTGGGGGCAGCTCCTGGGCTCAGCAGATCCTTCCTCAGGGTGAGACTGCAACAGGGACCAGGTGACACAGGACATAGGAACCTTGTTGGATCTGGTATGTGTGTGCAAGTGTGAGCAGAAGGTCCCAGCTTGAGGTCTTGGCGTGAAGATTCTCTATGGTGGTTGTTCTTGGAGCCATGCTCTCCCACCTTGTTGTAAGGATGCTTGGCCTCTGGGCATTCAATTGGCTATTAGGGTCTCTCAGGCCTGGCTGTGTCCTGGATTCACCAGATGGCCTGGAGGAAGCCCTAGGCAGAGGGAAGACACCCAGATCTGGGGCTAGCAGGTGGGTCTCCTGACTGCGTCAGGAGCATCTCTGAGGATGGGGTCAGGCCTCCTGCGAGCCTCAGCATCAAAAGCACAAAGCACTTCACTGGCTGCTCCAGGGCTGGCTCTGGAGAGCAGCAAGATGGCAGGGGATAGAGGAGTGTGCTTTGGAGTCATGGGCCTTGGACCTCAGGCCCCATACTGCTTAGGCCCAGTGTTCCTGACCCATGGTGATTGGCCATCCGGAGATGGCCCTGAGATGTCCGGTCTACCTGCCCATCTGTACAGCAGCCGCTGCAGGCACTCCAAGCGAAGGAAAGGAGACACGGCCTCCAGCCAGGCTCAGGTCGCTGTGATAATTAGCAGTGATTTGGTTGTAGAGAAATCTCGATATTGCTTCCGGCTGCCTGGAACTGCCTAATTGGGGCAGAGATCTGTGTAGTGGATACAGTGGTTTCAACATAATTTCATTACATCTAAGATAACACTGGAATGTGGGCTGCCCAGCACACTCGTCCTCGTGCCTAATTGCCCAGAAGCACCCATGGGCTGGCTGAGGCCTGGCTGAGCAGAGGGCTTGGTGACAGGTGCCATCAGCTGCAAGGGTTTCCAGCTGCTGTGTGACTGTGTCAGGAGGATCTCTGAGGCTGGAGTCAGGCCTCCTGAGAGCCTCTGCTTCACAGAACTTCATTGGCTGCTGAGGGGCAGGGGCTCCACTCTTAGCTACAGGCAGATACCTGTCCTGGCTCCTGGCCGTGCTGCCCAGCACCCTAGGGCACAGCCACTTAGGTGGGCTCATCTCAGGGAGAGTGGCAGGGAGCGTGGCTCCTCTGTCTCAGAGGGGCCTTTTGACTTGTGATGTGCATTGGCCCTGTTGCCCTGGGTAAGAGTGGTCAAGCCTCAGAATTAGGGCTGTCTGCCAATCTAGCACTAGATACACTGGGGTCCCAGTGAGTGTCTGCTGGGCCCAGTGCATGTGACTCTGGCCCAGCCTTGATGTAGGCTCATGGCACAGGCACTGGAGTCATGCCACCAAGAAAGCTTGGGACAGCACAAGTCAGGGCCTGCCTGCCCTGGGGCCCCCTCTCACTGAGGATAGGAATGTTGGGGTAGTGTGTTTGCCTTGCTCACCAGTGGTTCTGGCACAGAGAGGACCTTGGGAGACCTGTCCTTCAGCCACTCCAAGTTATGTGGCCCTGAGAGAGGCTATTCTATGACTGGTGCACCCAGCGACAGCTGCTGTCCATGGTGCTGGGCCTGCATCTGTCTCCTGAGCTGAGATAAGGCTCCGAGCCCTTCCCCTAGGGCGTGAACACTGAGCTGTCCTGAGAGCATGCCGGCTTAGAGGGCAGCCCTATGGCCTGCTCCCTAAGTGCCCATTCTGGGCTCCTCCTGGCCTCTCTAGAAGACCCCAGGGTGGGCTTCTGAGACCTTACCCTCTCCTCCTCAGTCCACTGATGGCTCTGGAAAGAGAACCTCAGAGGGTTTCATCTGGGTGCCCATGCTTGGAGCCTCCTGGTGGCCCCAGGGCTGTGGTGTGGTAGATTTAGTGGCACTTCTACTTTGAGGAAGTGTCTTCTGCTTAATATGGACTGCACCTGAAACATAGAGGCCTGAGGACTCAGCCAGTGTCTGTAGTACCTGCTGGCCAAGCACCTGTGTGCCTGGACCTGGGGGTAACAGGCCACAAGATAGAACATGCCTTCAAGGCACATGGTCAGTGGAGGGTCAGGACTGAAGCAAGAGGCTGAGCCCTGGCTAAGCCATGTTCTGGGTCTCCTCAGCAGGGTTCCATGGCACTGAGCACCTAGACAGGTGTGTTTTGAGCTGTCAGGGCCACCCCAGCCCAACTCATTGAATACTGCAGAGTCCACGCTGTCAAGCTTTCCCTATGGAGGCTGATTCAGGTGCTAAGCTGGGGCCCTGTCACCTCCAAGCAGGTCCTGGTCTTGCCCTGCCCCACCCACTGGGCCCTCACAGGCTCCAAAGTCAGTCTTTAAGGTTTCAAGCAGCCCCTTCCATAGGGGCCTTTCTGGCTCACTCCTAGGGACTTCATGGGCCACGACATGCCTCAGACTTCCTCTCTGTAGCCCACCTCCAGCTGTAGGTGCCTTTGTCTCCAGGATTTGCCTTTGGCCGGGGCATGGGGCTATGCAGCTCCCTGGACTTCTACTTGCACCTTGCCAAGTGCTCCCTAAGTCCATGGATGTGGAGCTTCCCTGGGCTCCCTGGTGGGATGGCCTGGGGGAGCCCCTGAGGGTTCCTGAGGTCATCTTGTCTACAAAAGGAAGACAGCAGCCAAGACTCCTTACCTCCTCATGAGACCTGAGCCAGGACACTGCTTGGCACCTGTGCATTTCTAATCAGTGGATAGGGTCCAGTGGTAACTACAGGTGTGGGGACCTAGAGTCCAGGGAGGGAGCAGTCCTGTGTAGGTGACTGTAGTTGGTTACAAGGTGACATGGCAAGGCATGGAGTGGAGAGGTGGTTCCAACCTGCTTTCCAGTGTCATAGTGATTACTTGGTGGGAGAAGGGCGGGGGGCGGGGAACTCACTGAGCTTCATGTACACAAGGTAGTAAGCTGAGTGGTGATGCAGGCAATGGCGGGGGCTGGGCTTGTGATCAGCAGGATCCCACAGATTTCGCATGGGTGGTGACCAGAAGCCTTGCATTGCAGGAAGCAGACACGGATGACCGCCAGGGAACACTGGGCTTTGAGGAATTCTGCGCCTTCTACAAGATGATGTCCACCCGCCGTGACCTCTACCTGCTCATGCTGACCTACAGCAACCACAAGGACCACCTGGAAGCTTCCGACTTGCAGCGTTTCCTGGAGGTGGAACAGAAGGTGAGGCCCAGGCAGGAGTGGTGTGACTGGCCAGCATGGCCTCATTTTAGCTCCCATCACAGTGGACTCATTGCCTTGGGTCAGGGCAGGTCACAGACCAGCAGCAACCCCCCAAACTGGCTTTGGTTCCATTTCCAGGCCTTGTGTCACGGGAGCTGCCAGGTGAGTGGGGAGGTTTGCCGTGTCTACCTCCTCCCCGTCTCTGAATAGCTTGGTCCTGACCATGGACACCCCTAGCTTCCAGAGGGGCACCTGTGGCTTGCCCACCCTCTGACCTCATGTTGAACATCTCATGGACTAGTGTTCCATGGCCCAAACTTTGAGAACTGTCCCTTTCCCATGTGGTCCAGACACCTGGGCCTGGCTAACTGGGGGCCTAAGGAATCTCAACTGGGCCATTTTTCCAGTAAACACCAAGATGCTCTTTTCCTTGATCCCAGGAAGTCTGTCTACTCTTGGAGAACCAAGCCAAGTACCCCCTGGGCACTGCGTGACTGACTGGATCCTGAGTGTTCAGAGCTGCAGGGGTTGGGTCCCTTCCTGTGCCAGGCCTGGGCAGGGAGCAAGTACTGCCCACTCTGTTATCAGGACCTGCAGGGGGCCAGGGAAACCCTGTGGAGAGAGCACTCCTGTAGGAGGGTCTCAGGCACCACGAGGGACCCATAGGACTCTCATAGACATTTTCTAGGGAGGCGGGCAGGGATAGGGGCAGGCCTTGGGGCCAGGCACCTGACCTGGACACTGCTGAGGGACCCTCTGCTCTGCCTAACCAAGAATCCCCCACTCCCACCAGCTGCCTCCTCTGGTCTGCACTGTGGGCTTTCCTGCCCCACCTCGTTGTGTTGGCTGGGCCCATCCTGTCCCTCTACCACCCCCTAGCAGGGCAGGCTGGTCCCATGTGGCTGGATCCTCCTCCTCACCCCCTCCACAGTGGGCAATACTAGTATGAGGCTGTGGGATGTGGCCCGAGACAGCAAGCCCTCTGCTGGGCACTGGTACTTGGAGACTGAGGTCAGGAACGTAGCCCAGATGGAGGATGGGCAGAACTGACCCTTCCTTCCCTGATCTTTGCCTCAAGTTTCTGGAACCTTTCCCTGTAGCCCGGGACCCAAATAGTATCTTCTGGCAGGTGAATTGAGCCCTCAGGCCCAACTGCCTGGACTCTGGGCCTCCCCAAGGGCCACAGCTGGCTCTGGGCTTTGGCCTCATTTTGCCTACTCCCCTTACCTCTCACCTGGTCCCTGGGGATTTCATGGAGGCCCCTGGTGGGCCAGCCTCAGGACCTATTCACAAGATCTTGATTAAACTGTTCTGGTGTTCAGAGCTCCCTCAGGGATGGGCTGCAGTGAGGTCACTGAGCAGAAAGGTATGCTCCCTGTGCCTGCCAGCAGGAGCCAAGCCCAAACTTCTGGAGAATTCTCAGCCACCCAGTCCCCTCCCTGATGTGGTGGCCCATGGCCCACCACTGTGAGGGTGACTCCCAGCATGTGGGTAGGCAGAGCAGAGGGTGCCTGGTCCAAAGGTCAGCCTTGATCCCCAAGGTAGAATGAGGGCTTCACTCCTTGCTCCACCCTACATGGATTTCTGCTCTACTCCAGTCCCCTTTGCACAGCTTTGGGACCCCTTGCATGGCAGCAGAGGATGGTACCTCTGATGAGGTCAGGGATCCCTCGCCTTTGGAAATACCTTCAGTCTGAGAAAGTGATTAAAAATTCATGTGATCCCCTTATAGTCTTCTGGCTGCTGAGTCCCAGGTAATATGGCCCTGGGGATAGTCAGTGCCTCCAGTCCTAAAGTGCAAGCAACCTCAGCTGCTATCAGCCCAGATGTGGTGACCAGAGGCAGGAGCAGGAGGCAGTGGAAGGATGTGAGAGTTGCCTAAGGTTAGCCCAGACTGGTGATGGGCTAGCCTGAGCTCAAGCCCCTGCTCTGCCTAGATGAAGGGTGTGACACTTGAGAGCTGCCGTGGCATCATCGAGCAGTTTGAGCCCTGCCCAGAAAACAAGAGCAAAGGGATGCTGGGCATTGATGGTGAGTGGGACGCCACCCTCAGTCCAGCTGGCCTGGGAGGAGGATGGGGCACTGATGGGCAACTGTGGGCCAGGTTGCTCCACAGTCCATGTAGTGTATAGGGCAGGCGGGCATGAGCTCAGCCCAGTGGCAAGGCTGACCCCACACCCACCCCACACTCCCCTGCAGGCTTTACCAACTACACACGGAGCCCTGCTGGCGACATCTTCAACCCCGAGCACCACAGTGTACACCAAGACATGACGCGGCCACTGAGTCACTACTTTATCACCTCGTCCCATAACACCTACCTCGTGGGTGACCAACTCATGTCCCAGTCTCGGGTGGACATGTACGCCTGGGTCCTACAGGCCGGCTGCCGCTGTGTGGAGGGTGAGCAGTTCTGGACCTCATGTCCCCCAGCCCAGGAAGCTGGCCTCAGCTGTGGGGTAGTGTCTCCTGTGGGAACTGAGGTGGGTCTGAGGAGCCATGGGGGGGGTCTGTGGGAAGAAGAGCTGGGAAGTCCTCTTCTGTGTCTGTCACTGAGCAAGAGGCTGAATCTGCTTTGGTTGGAACCCCAGCTCATGTAGCTAAGCCCTTGGGGCTGACCAGGGTCTGCCTGCCCACAGTGGACTGCTGGGATGGGCCAGACGGGGAGCCTATTGTCCATCATGGCTACACTCTGACCTCCAAGATCCTCTTCAAAGATGTCATCGAAACCATCAACAAATTTGCCTTCATCAAGAATGAGTGAGTTACCGGGTCCGAGGGGTTGGCAGGCATAGGAGGGGCTCCAGGGTCTGACTCTTTCTGCCTCTCCCCATGTCTTTTCTGGAAGGCAGTGGCTGTAGGGGTCAAGGGACAGCTTTTGTTTCAGTGTCTCTCTTTGAGGAGAGGGACAGGGGAGGGAGTGGGGCCACAGGTCCTGGGAGAGGGAAGATGGTGGATAGCGGCATGATAGGCCTAGGCTGCTCAGGGCACGCATGCTGTGGCCTGTCTACAAGTGCTAACCAGCAACCCCTGATCTCAGCTGCCCACAGCATTGGTCGTTCTAGCACTAATTACCCCCTAGAAGCCACACTGTGTCCAGACTCAATTTGCTGTCACTCAGCTGTTGCTGAAGATATTGTTGAGGAAAATCCAATTTGGTTTCTGGAAATAGAAGGCTGCCCCCTTGCTCAGGTAGCACTGCTTCCAAGTCATGGCTAAATAAGGCTCTTGGTGTGGATGGAGCTGATTGAATGAAGGAAGAGGCAGAAGCCAGGTGAACTTAGGAAATCAAAATGGCTGGGTGGGGAAGGGGAGGGTGGACGTGAAGTGGCTGGGGGTGGTGTTGCAGGTGGGGGCAGCTGGGGGGCACACAGTTCTCCTCTAACTGCTGGGGCCTTGGGGCAGAGCTCACACTTCATCTACCAGCTTCATCTTTGTAGGCCTCTTGCCTACGTACTTTTGCCCCAATCCCTTCTTACCCTCTCCACATCCCTTGACTGTCCATCTCTTGCTCTGGTTCTTGCCCTCTTGGCCTGGGTCACCTATATTTTCTAAAAGAATCATGGTTGCCTTATTGTAAAAATCAAAGTGAAATGAGCACATGGATAAAAACAAATAAAACTGAAGACCTTGTATTGCACGGTCCCATGCTGTACTCCCTATTCTGCACCCTGTAGGTCATAACTGTGTTCTGTTAGATGGTGTGGGCCGGTTCATGTCTCCTTTATGGGGTCAATGTCAGAACCCCAGAATCATTCATCGAACAGTGTCTAGGTCGGAGGGAATATGTTTCTTTTAGTCTATCTGTTGCTCTACATTGCTTAGTCCATGACATTTTTTAAACCATGGCTTTGTCAAATGTTTCCTTTTGTTTTCCTGGAGTTTCTAGTTGCCTTTGCTTCTTCTCATTGGGGAAAGAAGGACATGCCTTCTTTACTTGCCCCAAGATCTCCCATCTCCTTTCCTACCCATTCATTTGTTTTTAAAAGCTCATGGTTGGCCACCTCTTAAAGAGTCGGCATACCCACCCATGTCCTGGGCTTGGTGAAAACTCTTCCTCACCCAATGGTATGGGTGACCTGGGCTCCTATATACGTGGGGTCTAGCCCTCCCCTGGGATCTTGGCCTTATCCCACTCCTCTTGCTTTGGGACCACAGATACCCAGTGATCCTGTCCATTGAGAACCACTGTAGTGTTGTCCAGCAAAAGAAGATGGCCCAGTATCTGACCGACATCCTTGGGGACAAGCTAGACCTGTCATCTGTGAGCAGTGAGGACGCCACCATGCTTCCTTCTCCACAGATGCTCAAAGGCAAGATCCTGGTGAAGGTGAGTCTTCTAGGATTATCATCCCGCTGGACCTCTGACCTGGGACCAAGCTGGAGCATCACACCATCTGTGGGCAGACTTTTTTTTGGTGGGGGGGATGTCCAAGCAGGCCATGCACCTAGTTGTCCTCAGTTTCCCCATAGTAGCCTCTCAGTCTAGGGATCACCACGTGCACATTGAAGCAGTTCCCTTGTATGCTGCCCCTACAAGGAAGTGAATGGTCTGTCCCCTGCCTCAAGGCCTGAGATTCCCAGAGCCATCTTGAGGCCCCCTCCCCTTTGCCGGCTGCTCTGTTGGGTGCCAGTCACTGGATTCCCGTACTTCCTTCAGGGCCCCTCCCATTGTCCGCCTCATCCCCCAGGGGAAGAAGCTTCCAGCCAACATCAGCGAGGATGCGGAGGAAGGCGAGGTGTCTGACGAGGACAGTGCAGAGGAGATCGATGATGACTGCAAGCTCCTCAATGGGGATGTGAGTGAGGGAGGGGCTGGGAGTGAGGAGACAGCGGCCCCCAAGAAAAAAGTTAGGGAGGGAGGCTCTTGGAAGGGAGGGAGATGCCGAGCTTGGTGTACAAAGCTGCCTAGCTACTGGGGATGTGCTTGACTGGGGCCTGTGGATCTGTGCCCTCCACACAAGTCACGAACCCCTGTTCCCCATGAGTGAGCCATCCATACACCTGCTGGTGTTCTGTTTGGGTTCCCATTTCTGAGCTAACTCTTGGACATTTTCCACTACACTGGCCTAGTCTTGGCTCTTCAGGGAGGGGGCAGCACTGAGGAAGGGGTCTATCCCGGGTTCCACACCATTTCTACCCATATCAGTCATCACTGGGCTCTGAATCAGAATACCCCAGCTTCCTGGCCAATCCCAGTTGGACTCTGGATAAGTCAGTGGTCCTGTCCAGTTACCCCTGTACCCAACACCATCCCTGCTTCTAAGCAACACCAACTCCAAGGCTGTCTTTATGCTGAGACCTCCTGAAGGAGGAGCCTGCCTAGCTCTGTGAGGGTCCCACTAGTGGTCACCTCCAGAGTGCCCTCATGTCCTCCTCAGTGCAGCTGGCCCTGCCTCTGGGCTAGGGGCTGCAGAGGGAGACTGAGGAGTCTGCCAGGGCCTTGGCTCACAGAGGCCGGGGGCTCTTTAATTGGCATCTTCTCTCCTCTGGGCACTGCTCTGAGCTGTTGCTGCTTCAAGGCATCAAAGATTGTATTTCTCCCCCAGGGGCCATTGGATGAGAAAATAACTGTGCAAGAGGCTTCCTGGCCTGGGCTAGCTAATTGCTTCAGAAGGCCCCGAGGCGGTGGAATTCTTCCTGCTTTGGGTGTGCCTGCCGTGTCTCTGGTGACCCAGAGTGGTGTTAAAACCATCATTGTGATGTTTACATAGTGTCCACTCCTACCTGAGCACCAGGGATGTTCTAGTGCCCAAAACCCAGGTCTTTCTTCAAGGACTCCAAGTGCAGCAGGGTTACACTAGGGCTGCCTTGCCAGGGAACGGTACCTTGGCCAGTTTGAAGGCTCCTCCAAAATCAGCCCCTCTCCCTCCATCACCTCAAGGTGCGTGATGGCCAGTGTGATGCTTCAAATCCTGTTGCATGCCCTGACCTCCTCCAGTGAGGCCCACCAGGCTGGGCGCTTGCATGTGAGCTGTCTGCTGGGTCCCCAGGCAGAGTCATGCGTGGAAGGAATTAGGCAAGCCTGACTCTGCGTTCTGCCCTCAGCTGCCTGCAGGCATCCCTGGGGTGAATCACAGCCTCTGTGAGCTCCCGAGTGGTAGTGTGTGCTCAGGGTCCCCTGGGCCATCACCACTGCTGCTCACAGGGCTGGGGACAGGTGCTGATGGCTGCCTCTGGCTCTTGCAGGCCTCCACCAATCGGAAGCGTGTGGAAAACATCGCTAAGAAGAAGCTGGATTCTCTAATCAAGGAGTCAAAGATCCGTGACTGTGAAGACCCCAACGACTTCTCTGTCTCCACACTGCCCCCGTCTGGAAAGCCTGGGCACAAAGCAGAGGCCAAAAAGGTGATTCCCTGATACTGACAGGTGCTCCACCTACAGCCAACCTGTCGGCTCTGTGTGTACACACCTCTGCACATACATGTACTGGTGTGTGTACCTATACACGTGTACGCCTGCATATATGCCTGCAACTTGACCTGCAACCCAGGCACACACACCTACACCCCCCGAACATTTTCACATGTGCACATACACCCATACACACGCACATCCCTGCACCCACACACCTGTACACATGCACACGTCTGCATGCACACCTGCATAATACTTGCATGTGCATAGACTCCTGCATACTTATACCCAGGCACATCTCTGCACACCCCTGCACACACACCCACATATACACACCTCTGCATGCACACCTGCACCACGCTTGCATGTGTACACACACCTGTAACCCGTGCACACCTCTGTACTCACACCTGTACACTATTCATGTGCACACACACCTGCACACATATCTGCACTCAGTCACACCTCTGCACACACCTGCACAGACACCTGTACACACACACCTCTACATTCATACCCGCACACATCTCTGTACACTAGAACATCTCTGCACACTCATATATATCTCTGCATGCACACCTGACAATACTCATAAGTGCATACACACTGGCATACATATCTACACATGTACCCCTTTGCACACTCCGTGCACACACATATATATACTCACCTCTGCTGCACACCCTCACACATACCTGTGCATAACCGCACACCTGCACAACACTTGCGTGTGCCTGCGTACGCACACACACATACCTGTACACACACTGGCACATTTGCACGTGGGCATGTGTCTCCCACCCCGGGAGACCTGCAGCTCCTTGTGGAAGGGGACTTGAGCATTGTCCACCTTGGGCAAAGTGGGGTCTCAGAGCCCAATCGGTCCTGAGCGCTGTCCAGCTGGTGGAAGCATGGCTGTCCCCCTGCCTGGAGCTGCTCACAACAGCATGGGAAAATATCTACACAGAGAGAATGGCCATCAGGGACTGTCATGGCGGACATGATGAAGTGCTCTTGGGATGCGTGCGTGCATGCCGTGTGTGTGTGTGTGGTGTGCCAGCAGGGTCAGCCAGGCTGAGTGGACTGTGCCTCTTTGGAGGGGCAACAGCCTTGAAGGATGGGTTTATCAGCCAAGTGGCCTGAATAGAGGAGTTGAGTCGTGCAGCAGCTGACAAATGGTGGCTGTGGTGGGACAGGCAGCTGGCCTTGGAGCTGGGCAGATCATCTGTAGGGTGAATAGGCTGGAGTGTCTCCCAGTGCCTGAAAAGCCCACTGTGCCCCTGCTGTCAGCCCATTCTTGCTGTTTTCCAGGCTCTCTGGAGAGTGGAAAGGGGGCTCTTCCCAGTTTGGGGCTGTGCCCCCTGCCAGGACCAGTATTTTTAGAGATAGGTTTGTGTTCCCACCCACAGCCCTGGAGTGCTTGGCACAGCTATGCAGGTGGCTCATTGCAGGTCCCAGTCCGTGCACACAGGACTTTATTTTTAGTTCCCAGACGTTTAGCAGGAGAGTGTGGCCCACTGTGGGTCCACTCAACCAGGTGGGGTTGATGTCAGTTCTGCTTTCTTTGGCCAAGCAATTCCTGGGGAGGGGCTCTTGGGAACACACAGCAGAACAGTCTGACTGGTCCTGGCTGCCCTTGTGTCTGAGAGGCCACTGAGGGGCCTGTGCTCAGGAGGGCTCCCTGAAGGAGGAGAGGAGGGCTTGGGCTGAGCCACTCAGGTGGGAGGGCAAATGCCCCGCTCTAACTGTGGCACTAGGTTCTTCCTGCCTGACCATGACAAGACCCCACAGGGCTCAGGGCCCTTAGGACAGGCGGGAGGGGTGTGCAGAGTGGAGCTAAATAGAGGCAGAGGGCCATGGGTAGGGCACTCGTCCAGCCAGGGAGCTCTGGGGCAGTGGTCTGGGCACACAGGGTCGTCACAAAGATGGCAAGTCGCACCTTGTGCCCCTCTTTCTGTGGGACGGGCTGGGTGCTGGCCCCTCTGCATGTGAACCTTAAGAACATGAGGCTGTACTTGGGGATCCCTGTGGAGAGCAGGATGCCTGGGGGCAGCAGGTGGATACCTGGGGGACAGAAGCCCTGACACACCCAGTGGGTGCTGACCAGCAGTAGTCCTGGCTCTCCACTGCTTTCCCTCAGTGAGGCCCAATGCAGGATCTTTCCTGAAGAGGTGGCTCTGTCTGTGGATGCACTCTGCAACACTGTCCAGGTCTTATTGTTTCCCAGCTTACCCTACCACCAAAAGGGGCCCAGGGGTGGTGGGGGCCTAGCCCTTAGCTGCCCACACGCAGTCTAGAGTGGCTGGATTGAGAGGACACTGGCCTTCCCGTTGCAAGCTGTGTCTGGGTGCTACATCTCAGGGCTGTCATGTACCTCCTTACAACACCAGAATGTGGTCATTTGTGACTGTGGTTACGGTGGCATTTTGGGTGATTTTAAACAACCTTGTAGTTCACTGACCTCAATTGGTCCCGCCATAACACGCGTGCAGCTTCTGTGCCTCTCCCAGCACACAGTGGACTCATCAATGAGCTAAGAAGAAAGTGGTAGTATTGCGGAGGCCGAGAGAAACGGTGTCTCTAAGGACACGGGGGACACTGATGACCCTGAGCACATGGGTGTTGTGATTCTGCCCCGGTTTTGGATCCGTGGAGTCTGCTAACTGGGAGGGCCAGGCTGGCAAGACCTTTGACCACTGGGCATCAGGAAGGATCAGCTAGACCTGGTCCTGACTCCCTGAGAGAGAAGGAGGAGGCAGGGTATAGAGTGACTGGTGTCAGCCTGTGTCACCTGGACTTGACAGGCTGTCTGACATGGAGCTTGGGGCTGGCAATGTGTTCTGCTTCCAATGTGTCTGACGAGGCAGTGTCAGGGCGGGGGGTCGAGGAGGGCAGGCGGTCCCCGGCAGATGAGGTGGGGAAGGAGGCATAGTTTCATGTGAGAGCAGCTGTGAGCTCAGGTTCCATGCTGGTGTGATTCCCCACCTGACTCTAGGCATTTGAGCAACTTTCAGCACTCTGACACTTGTGAAGTGTGTGGCATAGGCTATGTCCATGTGTGTGAGAGTGCTTGCCCCTGTGTGTTGGACAGGTGTGTCCAGTGTGTGCAGAGTAGTGCCATCTATCATGCAGATTTATCCATGTCATGAATGAGTTGCCCATCTATGTGCGGGGGGTGTCTATATGCAGGGTTATGTCAGTGTTTGTGCTGGGGTGTCCATGTGTATACAAGGTGTGTCCATATTTTGTGGGGGGTGTCATGGTGTGTGTCTGGGTGTCATGGTGTGTGTTTGGCTGTCATGGAGTGTGTCTGGGTGTCATGGTGTGTGTGGGGTTCATGGTGTGTGGGGGTGTCATGGAGTGTGTCTGGGTGTCATGGAGTGTCTGGGAGTCATGGAGTTTGTTTGGGTGTCATGGTGTATGTTTGGTTGTCATGGTGTGTGTCTGGGTGTCATGGAGTGTGTCTGGGTGTCATGGAGTGTGTCTGGGTGTCGTGTGTGTCTGGGTGTCATGGTGTGTGTGAGGTGTCATGGAGTGTGTCTGGGTGTCATGGAGTGTGTCTGGGTGTCATGGTGTGTGTGTGGTGTCATGGTGTGTGTGGGGTGTCATGGTGTGTGGGGGGTGTCATGGAGTGTGTCTGGGAGTCATGGTGTGTATGAGGTGTCATGGAGTATGTTTGGGTGTCGTGGTGTGTGTCTGGGAGTCATGGTGTGTGTGAGGTATCATGGAGTGTGTGTGGGGTGTCATGGTGTGTGGGGGGTGTCATGGAGTGTGTCTGGGAGTCATGGTGTGTGTGAGGTGTCATGGAGTGTGTCTGGGTGTCGTGGAGTGTGTCTGGGTGTCATGGTGAGTTTGAGGTGTCATGGAGTGTGTTTGGGTGTCGTGGTGTGTGTCTGGGAGTCATGGTGTGTTTGAGGTGTCATGGAGTGTGTCTGGGTGTCATGGAGTGTGTCTGGGAGTCATGGTGTGTATGAGGTGTCATGGAGTGTGTCTGGGTGTCGTGGAGTGTGTCTGGGGTCATGGTGAGTTGAGGTGTCATGGAGTGTGTTTGGGTGTCGTGGTGTGTGTCTGGGAGTCATGGTGTGTGGGGGGTGTCATGGAGTGTGTCTGGGTGTCATGGAGTGTGTCTGGGTGTCGTGGTGTGTGTGAGGTGTCATGGAGTGTGTCTGGGTGTCGTGGTGTGTGTCTGGGTGTCTGTCATGGTGTGTGCTGGCATATGTCCCTCATGTGGACTGGTGCACACCGCGGGGCATTTGCAGGAATTCTGCCACATGTGTGGTTCAAGAGTGCATTTGGGGTTTCTGTACAAGGGGCTGCTGGGGAGCTGGCAGTTCCTTGGAGCAGCAAATGTGAGGCATGGTCTCCCAGCAGCTCTGGTGGGAGCCTCGACCTGCTATATTCAGGGTGGATGTGAAGATTTGTGAGGTGGGGCAAGGTGCTTCTAGAGCCAACCTGGGGTCCTGGGGCAGGGGACTTGGGGGTGCCCTGGGTCTGCCTGGGTGTCCTGAGCCTTGGGGAGTGGCCCTGGAATTCTTTCTTTCATTAAGTGACGCCCCTATTCGGCAAGAAGCAGGGCAGGACATTAGGGCTGCAAGGATCCTCTGGAAAGGACTGCACTAACAGGCTTCGGCTTGGCTGGAGAACATTCCAGACACAAGCCGCATTTATCTTGTATTCTTTGTCCTTGGGAAAGATGTTCAGAACCAGTACTGAGTTAAAAGCACACATTGCGAGAAAGTGGTGTTGGCATGTGAACAAACTCGATCCCAGCCTCCCCATTTTCCAGGCCTCACCTAGGCAGCTGCGCCCACTCACCTACCCGCCCTGCCTTGCTCTCAGGCCGGCTCAACGCCACCTCTTCCTGGAAGACCTTTGGGGGCTGTCCTGCCCTCTCTGCCTGGTCCAAGTCTGGGCTCACCTTCTGAGCCTGTGTTTCCCTCAGGGTCAGAGCAAGGCTGAGGAGGGCGTGGAGTCCGGGGAGGAGGCTGGGGCCAGCAGTCGGAACAACCGTCTTCTTATGAGCAGCTTCTCCAAGCGCAAGGTGAGTGGAGCCCCTCAGCTGGGTGCCGTTTATGTCCACTGTCCTTCCTGCACCAGGTGCTAGCTGTGGCTGGGGTCGGGAGCCCAGGGGCAGGGCTGCTCAGGAGCAAGTGCCTTGAGGGCCCTCTGGTCACTGCCTTCCCTAGCCTCCACTGGCTGATGCCAGAGCTCAGGTACCACATGGCTGTCCCGAGAGTACACCAGGGTCAGGGTGGAGCAGGACACAGCAGAGGCCTCTGCAGGTTCAGCTGGGCAGGGTGGGCCTGGTAGGCCGTGTGGACTGCCTGAGAACTCAGGTAGGTGGCCCCTGCCCTGCACCCTCCTGGCCTGTGCCATGGCCTGGCTTGACTCCATGAATCACGGCTATTCTGTACAGAAAAAGGGCAGCAAACTAAAGAAGGCGGCCAGTGGGAGGGGACGAGGACCTGGACTCCCCAGGAAGCCAGAGCCGAGGGTCAGTTCCCTGCCCTATTTGGGGGTCCCTGCTCAGTCTTGGGGGCCTGTCAATCATGGACTCACCCCCTTTCTCTAAGGGTGACTCTGGGAGGCTGTCCCCTGAGTGCTGGGCAGGCCTGGGAGCAGGCATGGGTCCACTCCCTTTATTCTGAACACTGAAGGAAGCAGAGGGGACTGAAGCTAGCGAACAGTGGGGCAAGGGGTGCTGTAGACCTGTGTGGTGGCTTAGACAAACAGGACTGGCACACTGGGGCAGGGGTCCTGATACTGCTTGGCCTACTAGTCTTAGTTCCCACCTCCTCCTGTCCTCAAGGCCCCCAGCCTCATGAGCTTCCCAAGAGTCACATCTGTCCCTGGGCCTCCCATGTATCTAATGGCTTCTTCTGACACCCCTGGGATGTCACTGGGGTCTCACTTCCACATCCAGCTTGGAGCGCCTCTCCCCTCATTTTGGGTTCCCTCTGCCCCTCATCCCTCCTTCTCCTCCTCTTTTCCCTCCTAGACCTTGTGCCCTCTGTCCCTCTCCCCCTTGCTTCTCCCCCCTTGTGTCTCAGCACATGACTAGGACCCTGCCGGTCATTGCCCTGCCTGACTCCAATTTCTCCCCCACCCAGAGTCCTCATGTCCCTCAGAGCTACTCCTGGTTGTCAGGCCCCCTCGTACCCCTCTCACACCTGCTCACGAGTTCCCAGGACCTCTGTATCTGCGGGTAGCTCCCTGCCAGCCCATGTCCAGCTGCATTTCTACAGCCCTGTGGTGGGCTGGGAGTCTGTCCCCACCTCCACATGGTCCCCAAGGTCCAGCTTGCCTGGAACATTCTTGCACTTTGGCAAGCAGATGGACCTGCCTAGGTCCTGGAGCCTGATCTGTGGAGCTGGGCACCCAGCTAGTCCTTGCTGCTGCAGGGTCCTGACCACCCCTGCCATACACCTGCAGGACAGCCCGGCAGAAGAAGACCATGAAGCTGTCACGGGCCCTCTCAGACCTGGTGAAATACACCAAGTCTGTGGGCATTCACGACGTGGAGACAGAGGGTGAGGGCTAAAGGGTGATGGGGGGAGGGCGGGAGGTCACCTAGCATGGGCTGTGCGTGTCCAGAGGCCCATGGACTTACGCCTGGCTGGTGTGTGGTACAGTGGCATCCAGCTGGCAGGTGTCATCCTTCAGTGAGACTAAGGCCCACCAGATCCTGCAGCAGAAGCCAGCACAGTACCTGCGCTTCAACCAGCACCAGCTCTCCCGTATCTACCCCTCCTCCTACCGAGTGGACTCCAGCAACTACAACCCGCAGCCCTTCTGGAATGCTGGCTGTCAGATGGGTGGGCACCGGGTAGTATACAGGGTGGGGTGGTGAGGAAGGCTGTCCCTGCTGGCCGGAAGCATGCAAGCAGGCCTTGGGGCCTCCCGCCCCCTTGTCTGCATGTGGCTTTGGATAACCTCCAGGCCTGCTGCCAGCTCCACCAGGCCACATGTGGCCTAGGGGCACTTTAGACCCCAGGGCAGCTGGGACAAGTCCAGGTCTGTTCTTGCACGCCTAGGGTGTGTGGGCGACTGTGCCAGGCTCAGCAGCTTTTGCCAGGTGTAGGGCCCTGCGTTCACAGCTGTGAACCCCAGAGCCCATGCATAGAGGGCGAGTGGCAGATGATGGGGGATGGGGGGGGTGGCACGGGCATGACATACAGCTGCTGACCCGGATGGCCTCCTGTCCTCCCCTGCAGTTGCCCTGAACTATCAGTCAGAGGGGCGGATGCTGCAGCTAAACCGGGCCAAGTTCAGTGCCAATGGCAGCTGTGGCTACGTGCTCAAGCCCCCATGCATGTGCCAGGGTGAGGCCTAGGGCTGGGGCCGGTTCCTGCAGGATCCCAGGGACCCTGGGTGGGGAGGGGAGCTGCATAAGACAGTGAGGTCAGGGTCAGGGTGAGGCTGGTATTCAGGTGCCAGGATACCAAGAGGTGAGGGTGTGCCTCCCTCCTGAGCCTCCCCCCCACACACCCTGGGCCTCATGAGATTCAGGGACCTGGTGCCATCTGTGGGGCTCAGATCCAGGCACCATGGACTGGGTCTCTGCTGGGCATTTTAAAGAGCTACCCTCCCCCTCAACACCAGTTTTCTCCCTGACCTGCCTCACAGGCCTGCGGGATTTACCATTTAGTCCTCCCCCTTCACTATGCCCTGTCTTGGTCATGTTGAACTGTCTTACTGCATGGTGCTACCTGGAAGTCACAAGCCTGAGCGAGTCCCTGGATGCCCTGTGTCACCTTCCCCCTTGTCACTCTGCCCCTCACCCCAGGGCTGGGGCTTCCCATGGTTAGATGGGGGCTGTTCACAGCCAGAGCCCTGCCAGCTGTGAGCAGAGCCCACTGGAGGCTGCCACTCTGCCTCATGCCCACGTCTTCCCAGGCGTCTTCAATCCCCACTCTGAGGACCCCCTGCCTGGGCAGCTCAAGAAGCAGCTGGCCCTGAGGATCATCAGTGGGCAACAGCTGCCCAAGCCGAAGGACTCGATGCTGGGCGACCGTGGGGAGGTATGGGTGAGCCCGCACCGGCGAGCTGGGTCATGGGAGGGCCCCAAGACCCCGGTGCCACCCCTTGCCCTGTCCCCAGATCATTGACCCCTTCGTGGAGGTGGAGGTCATCGGGCTCCCCGTGGACTGCAGCAAGGAGCAAACTCGAGTGGTGGACGACAATGGTGAGGGTCTGGGCCTCGGGCAGGGGAGGGTGCCTGAGGCCACCATAGCCCCCCGCCATGTTGGCAATGATCTTGGAAGGAGAGGCCAGGGTCACCTGCTGTGGACCCCACCAGTGTGGGTCCCACAGGTGACAGTCCTTGGCCCATGACTCCCAAGTGTCTCTTCCTCTTGTGGAGGTAGAGATGTGGGTCAGCTGGTCTCCAGTGGGAGCCAGCCAAGGACAGGCCTGGCTCATGTGATCCGCGCCCCCCCCCCACCATGCCACCGATGCCTGCAGGATTCAACCCCATGTGGGAGGAGACCCTGGTGTTCACTGTGCACATGCCTGAAATCGCACTCGTTCGCTTCCTTGTCTGGGACCATGATCCCATTGGGCGTGACTTCATTGGCCAGAGGACACTAGCCTTCAGCAGTATGATGCCAGGTGAGCAGGGGGCCTGGGGCTGTGGGAGGGACAGGGTCACTCCCAGGGAGAGGTCCCTGCAGGCTGAGCAATGCCGGTGGGCTTCCTGGAAAAGGCAGAATAGTCAGGACCTGCTCGCTGGTCCTACTCAGGGCCTGGGGACCTTTAAGGGAAGAGTGAGGGTTTGGGGTGAGGATAGGTTAGGGCCCTGGTGATCCTGTGACCCCACTGTCCCAGGCTATCGGCATGTGTACCTGGAAGGGATGGAAGAGGCCTCCATCTTTGTGCATGTGGCTGTCAGTGACATCAGCGGTAAGGTGTGTGTCACCTGCGGGGCCACCCGTGGTTGTGGGAAGGACCACCCTGCCCCCACCAGCAGTATCCCAGGGAAGCTCCTGATCCATGGTGTTCACCTCCCTGGGACTCCTGTACCTGTGACGTGGGGTGTTGGGGGATGCTGATCTCTATCTCCATGGTAGATGTGGGCAGCTGAGGGCAGGTGTGTGAGATGAGCGTCCCCACTTCTGGAAGGAATTGCGTCCTCCCTCCACGTACTAGTCCCATCTTCCTTGGTGGCTTCACCCAGGTCCTGCCTATCAGGGCACTGTCCACCTGGCTTCTCAGTTAGGAGGGAGCACTATGGCCCTAAGCCTCTCTACCATCTCTACTTCCAGAGTTGCCTGGAAGGCGTCTTCCTGGGTTTGCCCTCGACCCCATCCCTGCCCCAGGTCAGCGCATGACAGACTCTCAGTCAGTTCTGTGTGGGCCAGGCACTTTTATAGGACCCGGCCCGGTGTGGCCAGCACTCAGGGATCTGTAAACGCACAGCACATGGATCCTGCCTGGGCCCATCATTGACCTTCTCTCTTCTGCTGTGCCTGGGGGCCCAGGGGCTCTGCAGGTGTCCAGTTCTCCTTTGCTGCCGTCTGTCTGTCTGCGTGTTGTATGTCTGCGTGTCTCCACAGGCCCGCGGGCCCCACCCCAGCCACCGTAACCGCCTCACCTGCCTTCACTCTGTCTCTTTGCTCTTGCAGTGGGCTTCTCTATGTCCCAAGTCTACTTTTAGAAGCGCTGCCTTGTTAGGCATCTCGAAGGTACCCCGATGCCGCGGGACGGTGTAGCCCGCCACCCCACCTGCATGCCAGGCCACGCCCCCCCATTAGCATCCGTGATTCCTGGTAGCATTTTGGAGATTGTCAGCTCATGTGACATGGATCATGACATGGTTCTGGGGTCCCCTGGGCCATCCTCAGCCAGAGAGCGGCATTTATGAGGCAGATCCAGGATTCCACTCAGCCAAGTGTCCTGTCTCCAGCTGCCTTCCCATCTGACCTGCCCCACCCCAGCTCTTTCCTCTGGCTGCTGCTCTCGGGGGCACTCTTATGGTCCTGCCTTTCCCTGCCCTCTCCTTCTCACTCTGTCCCCCATGCTGTCATTTTTCAGTACCTCCCTTTCCCTCCTCACTCTATGCCAGTGTCTAGGGTGGGGCATCTGGGCCCAATGCGCCGAGCCTGAATCCTGGATCTCCCTCTAAATGGCTTTCCAGCCACAGTGACCAAATTGCACTGGATTTGGGATCTTGAATCGGGAAGCTGATTCAAGTGCTGGCTACTTTACCGCCTCTGCCAGAAGGCCCTGGGCCGCTCTGCACATAAGCACAGCCCATCTTGGGGAGCAGTGGGTGTTTGGGGAATCTGGGGCACAGGGGTGTTTGGCATGTGAGGATCTCTCTGGCCTCGGCCCTGTCCAGCAGTGACCTGGGCAGGGACTGCAGGAGAGGCCTGTGCAGGGGCCTCCAGCCCAACCATCCAGGAAGGTTCTCTGTGGCCTGGTGCTGGTGGGCTAGGAGCCTGAGTCCAGCTGGGTGGTGATCCACCAGCAAGCCAGCCATGGGAGCAGAGAGCAGGTCAGGCTAGAGAAGACGGCCTGAGGAGTTCAGAAAGGCTTCCTGGGAGAGGTGGCCCCTCAGGGCCCAGAAATGGCACCTCGGGAATGGGCAGGGCAGGGCCATGGGGGAGCAGGCCATAGGCTGCACTGGCTGAGTTTGCTTCATTAACGTCCCCAGAGGGTGGGGGGTAGGTGGCCCTTTGTAAAGAAAGCTGCAACTTCTCTTTCTCTGCAGAGCATTGGCTGCAGCCCTCAGAGCAAGCCAGGGTTGAGGTTGGCCTTTGAGAGAACTTGGGGAAATTGTCCTTGAATTCAGGAAGGGGAAGGTTCTTAGAGGGGTGGGGTCCTGCTGTCCCTGGTCAAGCTGCCGTGAGACTCTGCTCCTAGTGGCTGAGGTCCTGACACACACCCCTGGCTGGCCAGCCTGGTAGGAAGTTCCAGACCATCTCACCGACACACTCAACAGTGCCCTCTGGAGAGCTGGTCCTTAGGCCCCAGCCACTCCTGGGCAAGGTGGTGCAGGTGCCAGCTATGTGGACGCTTTCTCTTACAGGTCAAACAGGTTCTGGGCCTAAAAAGCCTCTTCCTCCGTGGCCCAAAGCCAGGCTCGCTGGACAGTCATGCTGCTGGGCAGCTCCCACCCCGGCCCTCCGTTAGTCAGAGGCTCCTGCGGCGCACGGCCAGCGCCCCAACCAAGAGCCAGAAGCCAGGCCGAAAGGGCTTCCCGGAGCTGGCCCTGGGCACGCAGGACGCAGGCTTGGAGGGGGCAGCTGATGATGTGGCACCCCCCAGCCCCAGCCCGGCTCCAGAGGCCCTGGCTCACAAAGGATCCGGAGGCAGCAGTCCCAGAGGTAAGGCGCCAGCAGCAGCGGTGGAGAAGAGTCCAGCGCAGGTGCGGCGACCATGTGCCCCTGAGGGTCCTGGGCCTGCAGGAATGGCAGCCACGTGCATGAAGTGCGTGGTGGGCTCCTGCACTGGTGTGGATGCTGAGGGCCTGAGGAGGGAGCAGCCACCCAGCCCAGGGCCTACAGGCAGACACATGGCCATCAGCCAACAGCCCCAGGCCCGGGCAGACTTGCTGGGGGGACCCTGCTGTAGCCTGGACCCTCAAGCCACCCCAGGGAGAAGCAGAGAGGCCTCCAAGGGCCCCAGGGCCCGGCAGCAGGGTCCAGGCGGCACAGGCTCCATGTCCTCGGACTCCAGCAGCCTGGACATCCCGGGCAGCCCCAAGGTGGCCCCCTGTCAGCCTGAGAGTGCCGACAGGCAGCAGAGGGCCTTGCAGGGAGAGATGAACGCCTTGTTCGTTCAAAAGCTGGAGGAGATCAGGACTAATTCCCCCATGTTCTCCACGGGTAAGGCCTGCCACTCCTCCCGCATCTGTGTTCTCTGCACACCCTGGCATGCCTGGGCCGTCCGCCACCCACTGTGTTCACGCATCTCTGCTTTCTTTTGTTCCATTGGCTTGGCCTGCCTCAGCCCCTTCCCCTCTGCCTGAGAGGCCCTGGCGCTTTGGAGGGGTGGAGCACGGGGAGTGTGAGTCACTGTGGCAGTGCTGAGGGTCTGCAGGTGCTGGCCGAGGGCCCTGAGCACCGCCAGCCAGGCCTCAGCAAGGGCTTCCCTGGCTGAGCCCAAACCTACCTCCCTGGGTGACATGGCAGCTGCCCTTGGTGGCCACTCATGGGTCCCGGCAGTTTCCAGCTCCCGATCCGGGTCAGGTTGGGCCAGGTCCCAGGGCTTGCCCTGAAGTGACCCTGCTCATAGTCCCTCCTGGGAAGTCTGATGTAAGTCAGTGGTGTAGCCACGGGGCTGCCCACAGAGACTGGGGTGTGTGGTGCTCAGAGCCTTGAGGTTGGCACCCTAGAGTTTGCGAAGTCCTGAGAGAGCTCCTGGGACCCTAGGTCCGTCACTGCCCAAACGGTGCTGGCAGCTCTATTTGGGAGAGTCGCCAGCCCACAGTGAACCCTGTCAGTGGGAGCATGATGCACCGAAACCCACCCTGGGTGGGAGGGAGCTACACCGAGCCTGTCCCCTGCCTCCTCCTCCCTGTCCCTGCCTGGCCTCGCTGTCCATCTGTCCATCTTCCAGCCTACCCCACCACTGACCGAGCTCTCCTTTTTGTCCCTGCACCCCGTGCTGCCTCCATAGTTAGGGACTGAGAGCTGCGAGCACCAGGTAATGGGCTCAGCCCCTGTGCATCCGTGTTGCCCAGTCCCAGGAGGACCTACAACTGGCCTGCCAGACCCAGCAGCAGCAGGGTGGGGGATAAGCTGAGCACACCATGTTGGATGTGTGTAAAATGGTCAGGCCTGGCTGCTGGGGGTGCCCTGGGGAGGGAGATGAACCACAGACCCTTGACATAGGGGTCAGGAGACACCATTCCTTGACCTGATTCTCCCTCTCTCCCTCCCCATCTGTTTCTGCCTGCCTCCCTCCCTCCTTTCCTCCCTCCCTCTCTATCTCTTCTCTCTGTTCCGTCCTGATTCTGAATTTCTCTATCTCTGACCCTCCCTGTCCCCCTTTTTGTCTATTTTTCTCCCTTTTCATCTCCTTCTTCCCGTCTGTCCCCTCCTCCCACTCTCTCCACCTCTGTCCCCCTGACTCTGTCTCTTTCCATTTCTGTCTCTCTCCCCCTTTCTCTCCTGTCTGTCCTTCTCCTTGTCTTTCTGTCTCTCTCTCTCATTTTCCTCTCTGTCTGCCTGTCTCTGTCTTTCTCTGTCTCCCTTTCTCCCTTCCATCTCTGCCTTCCCCGTCCCTCTCTCTGTGTCTCCTTCTCCATCTCCCTGTCTGTCCCTCTCTCCCCAGATACCCGCCTCTTCCCCATGCAGCGGCCCATCTCCCCCCTGTGCAGCCTGGAAACCATTGCTGAGGAGCCGGCCCTGTGCCCTGGCCTCCTACCCCAGGGGGTCTCTCCCGCAAGCCCTTCCCAGGAGGGGCGGCAGTGCCCTGCAGGACCTGGAAGCAAAGTGGCTGCTCCTCCACAGTCAGCTCTGGGAGCTTCTGGGCCCCTCCAGCTCAAGACTGGGGGCCACGGGGACAATGAAGAGCCCCCTCAAAAGCTGCACAATGGTGGGGGCCCTAGTGGGGCATGTGAGGGGGTCCCTGGGAGCCAGCCAGACAGCAAGAGCCACCCCCAGGCCCTGGGCCATCTGCCCGTAGTTAGAAGGGCCAAGAGTGAGGGCCAGGTGCCCTTGGAACCCGTGGGCACATGGCGGCTCCTGGCTGGGCCCTCCCCTACCCCTGCCGTGTACTCGGACGCCACGGGCAGCGACCGGTTATGGCAGCGGCTGGAGCCGGGTAGCCACCGCGACAGCGTGTCCTCGTCCTCCAGCATGTCATCCAGCGACACTGTCATTGACCTCTCCCTTCCAAGCCTGGGTCTGGGCCGCAGTCGTGAGAGCCTCGCAGGGGTCCCGCTCGGATGTCTGTCCCCGTGGTCCTGCTCAGCCTCAGCTGTCCGCCCAGACCCGCCTCCTGTGACCAAGAGCAAATCAAACCCTAACCTGCGGGCCGTGAGCCAGCTGCCTCCCGTACCTGATGAGCTGAGGCCCAGGCCCCTGGCCCCTCAGCCACCCGGCCTCCACACCCGGCCCCCCTGGCGTCGCCTCACCGTGGTGGGCCTGCAGGACTGCCCAGTGACAGCCAAGTCCAAGAGCTTGGGGGACCTGACTGCTGATGACTTTGGTCCTCGCTTTCAGAGCAGCTCCCACAGCCTGGGCCCCCTGGGTGCTGCGCGGCAGGCAGTGGGGCCAGGGGCCCGGCAGGACACCCTGACAGAGCAGCTGCGCTGGCTCACGGGCTTCCAGGAGGCTGGGGACATCACCTCGCCCACCAGCCTGGGCCCCGCCGGGGAGGGGGCCGTGGGGGGCCCCGCCTTCCTGAGACGCTCTTCCTCCCGCAGCCAGAGCCGGGTCCGGGCCATTGCCAGCCGGGCCCGTCAGGCCCAGGAGCGGCAGCAGCGGCTGCGAGGCCTGGGTCCACAGGGACCCCCAGAGGAGGAGCGGGGCACCCCAGAGGGCGCCTGCTCTGCGGGCCACGAAAGCTGTGTGGACCGACCAGTCCCTTCCAAGGGAGCCCCTGAGCTGACCTGTGGTGCTGTCGATGGCCTGCTGCTACGGCTCTGAGCCCGCCCTGCTCTGTCCACCCTCCTCTGTGGGTCGTGTCCCCTCCGCCATCCTGTGGCTGCTAGCTGGGGTGGCCCCGGAAGCAGTCTTGCGGGGAGTTGGGGGGAGGCAGTCTTTGCTCAGGAAATGGAGCGACTGGGTCCCCAAAGCTGTTGTCCCCACTCGCTCTCTGTGAGGTGCTCACAGCCTGCTCCTTGGGCCTGGCGTCCTCTTGTCACCTGTCCCCCCTGCCCAGGGCTCACGGAAGACAGCCCAGGAGACCTTCTCTACAACTTTTAAGATCGATACATGGAGATTTAGATTTTTAGAGGCAAAACTTACACAATGTTGAAGTGATACTGAGTCCTTCCTACTATTCCGTCCACCCCCACGGGTGTGCGATGAGCCCACTTCCCCTTGGGTCTCCAGCCTGATGTGCACCTGTCCCAAGGAATGCCTTGACATGCCCAGTCGCAGGGATGTTTGTCCCTGTCCTCACCCGAACTGTACACTTGATTTGTTCTTACCTGGACATTTTAAAGAGTATAAACCAACACAACTCCAATAAATGCATTCATGTCTGCTCCTCCCCATGTAGGACTGACCTGCTTGCTTCTGGGCCACGCCTCACTTCTCTGGGCCAGACCCCAGAAGGCTCAGAGAACAGGCCCCAGGGAAGACCTAGTGAGCCTGCTCCTCAAGGCAGCAGACCCTGGTGCTGAGCCCGGCCACTCAGCCAAAGGCCCCAGCCACGGGGCACTGTGCTCACACTGGGTCCTCAGAGCATGTGGATCTAGCCTGTCCCTCCCCTGGAAAGCTACAGTGCTGGCCAGGCCTTGGGGCTATGCTGGGATCTGGCTTCTGTCTCCCACCCATGGGGATCAGAGTGGCCCACTCTATAGCCCAGGGAGTCCTGTGTCCTGCTACATGTGAGACCTCAGCTTCTACTGTCCATGAGCCTACTGTCAACTGAGAAAGCGCACCTTATCCCTCTGGGGTAGGGACCCTTGGGAAGGTAGGCATGGGGCACGAGAGCTGGGGTCCTCCGGGGAGGGCCTCTCTGCCCTGTCTTCCAATGGGCAGGAATTGTGCACAGTGACAGGGCCTATGCGAGGTCAGGGTGGGGTGCCCACTTGGCACCTCTTGCCCTCCAGGGCTCCCTGGATGAGCTTGGCAAGATCCTCTGCCTCCTTGCACTTGGGGGCCACTTGCATGTACAAACTAGCCTGAGAACAGAGGTGTAGTGAAGGGTGGGCTGGCTGCCCAGTGGTGTTACCAGGGAGGGAGCCCAGCCTGAGGGATCTGAGCCCTTTGTGTGTGATGTGTATCAGTGATACTGGTGAGCTTGCCTGGTGACCAAGGTCACAGCGAGAGGCGGGGCCAGTGCAGAGTAAGCGCACATACCAGCCTCTGGCCTTGGTCTGTTCAGGGTACAAGGCAGCGACCAGAGCCTTTCTACTCCAACTGGGAAAAGGATGGAGGTGACAAGAGGCACATAGAGGGTGGGGTATGGGGTATGGGGGTCTACCTAGGGACACAAAGGGTAATTCATTCACGAGCTGAGCTCCTCCCTGCACAGGAAGGGTATCTGAGGTGACCATAGGCAGACCCTGTGGTGTTCGGAAGCCTGTGCTCAGAGCACTGAAGTCCATCTCACCTCCTGAGTCCAGCCCCAGGCAGGTGGGAGATCCAAGGACATAGTGACTCCTAGGTGGGCCTGCAGCCAGCATGAGCTGGGAAGTGGGACTATCTCCCTTGTGTGGACAGCTCCAAGACCCAGCTGTGTTGAGACCTGTGGAAGGCAGGGCCAGAAGTTTCCCATCAAAGCTGGGGCTGGGGGCAGCAGACTGACAGCTCAGTGCTGTAGGCAGCTGACCTGCCAACTCAAGGTCCCTGGGCTGGGCTGGAGGCAGGTGCAGCCTCTGCCCTGGGGCCCTCGGGAAGGAGAAGGTGGACCGTAGGCAACAGGACCAACCAGTATGGCCTGGCTGCCTCCTGGCTGTGCAGTATGTGGTGCCTGCTGCCCTCTAGTGGCCACCCTCGAGGGCCAGGGCTGGGATCTACTGACCCACAGCTGCTCTTGGGTTGAATCACAGCCACTTGCAGTGTGGAGGGGCACAAGGGTGGCGAGGTCCGGGACGTGTCACCATGTAAGGGCTGGCAGGGCCCATTCTGACTCCTAGGGTAGGTCACGCTGTGTCCCCTGGGCAACAGGTCATGGCTCCAAGCAGGAGAAAGGGGTGGGGTGAGGCTGGAAGACCCGGCCTGGCTTACCTTGGGGTGGCTCCAGTGTGGCTACAGGCCGCACCACACAACTCTATTCAGGTTACCCACATCCACCTCCACGGTTCAGGACAGCAGGTGTTGGGGGGTCTCAGTGGAAAATGAGGCACAGGTAGGGGACAGTCACTGCCACAAAAGGTAGGTAATGCCCAGCTGGTCTTGCTTCACTCCTGGCCTGGTCTGTTTCCCAACTGGGGGTGCAAGGGCGGGGGGCTGGTGGCAGCATGGCTTCCTTGAGGTCTGTCCCCAGACCATTGAGCAGAGGCCTCTATGCCATCCCATGTGCATACGTGGCCCACCTGCCAATGCAGCTCCAAGATGGCTCTCAATGAAACATGGCTGACCATGGCCTCACATTCTCACACGGGAGAAGTAGCAGCTGAGGGAGAAGCCAGGGCTGTGGGGAGTCTTAGGCATCTCAGTACTCCCAGGGCTGGGCTCAAGGCCACAGCAAAACACACATGGGCTGCTGGGCTCTGCCCAGCTCCCTCCAAGAGCCTCTTAAGGCAGGACTGCTACTCAGCAGCTTGCGCCATCCCTAGGAGCAGTGGGGACAGGAGGGGACACGGGCAGGCAAATACACCAGTTTGCTACTTCTGGGTCAGGAGGCTGGAGTGAGAAACACAAGGACTTAGGGACAGTACTGGGAGTATCTGGGGCCCAGCAGAGTTCCAGAGGGGCTGCAGATGAAAGCGTGGATCCTGTCTCCCTAGAGGAGTCAACTGAGATGCACCACAGACCTCACAGGGCTGCCCTGCCTGCCCAGTGGCACAGCTAAGACCATGCAACTCTGGCCCCTCTTCACTTGAGCTATGTGTCCAGACACTGCCCCACCAGAGATGTACACATCTATTCATATATTTATATATATGTATATATATATATATATATATATAAAAGATTATTAACAGTTAAATACATTCCAATACGAGTGTCACATGGGACAACCTGCATCGGCTGGCCCGGTGCACGCGCCATCAGTCACAGAAGCACAGTATAAATACTCTGGTGTGGACTGTAGATTCCTTGTTCAGTAAAACATTCCTGATGAGTGATGGGGGCAGGTTCTGGTGGGAGCAGGCACCTCACTCAGCGGGCACTTCATACTTGAAGATGACGCTGAAGAGCCGGCCACCCAGCCGCTCAGCCAGCCAGGCGTTCTTGATCACGGCCAGCTTGAGGCTCTCGCAGCACAGCGCTGCATGGTAGTTGGTGTGAACAGCGCGGCCCATGCCCTCGATGACCACTAGATCAGCACCGCGCTCCTGCACCAGGACAGCCAGCCCCTGGTCCAGACGGCTTCGGGAAGGAAGGCAGCAGTGAGGTTGGGTGAGGGGCTGGCCATGGCCTGTACTGAGCACACTGGGTGGACACCAAGCCCTGCTTTCCTTGGAGGCAGTAACTGCCATGAACATGGCATGGGGAGTGCCCATGTGGGGGCTGACGTGGTGCCTGTCCAAGTCCAGCCTCCCAGCGGCTTGCCTCCTCCCACTTGGTCAAAGCTCTGCTTTGGACACTCCTGTTCATGCTAACTCCTTCCCAGAGAGTTCCACATCCTTCCTTACTGGTTACCAGTGGAATTCCTCTATGGCACAACTGGTACAGGAAGCACTGAACATAATTAACTGACTCATGGGGACTGGGGAGGCAGAGCTTCACACCCGTGTGGGGACACCTAGGCCTCAAGGTCAGGCAGGCTCTTAGAGCTGCACAGTGCAGCCGCCCGTCGGCCCCCACAGTCCCAAGGAAGATGGCTTCCCAGTTCTGTGGTCAGGGAATATAGTGGGCAACACTGGCTTCTGCTGCCCTGTAGAAAGGAAGGCCTGGGTTACCTGAGATCGAGACACGGGGAACTGGAGCCCGTCTGCACCAGCAGCAGCCTCTCCTCCCGGAGCGCAGAGCTGTGGAGTATAGGTGATCAGTGTCCTGTGAGGGCGTCTCGGGAACGCTCTTTACACAGCTCCCACAACCACTAGACTGCCCCCCCCGCTCTGCATGGCTGGCCAGCACCTACTGGATGATGGGGTCCATGGCCGCGATGTGCTCGGCCACGATGAGGGACTCACTGTAGGTCACATCGTTCAGGGCGGGGCCGGAGTTGCACGCCAGGATGACCTGCAGGGAGGCCCCAGGCTCTTAGTTTCAGGGCTGCTGCCTAGCATGGAGCAGCCTCGGTTCACCCAGGTTTCCCCTGGCTGGCCCCACCGCGTGGCCAGCTGCCCCAAGCAATCTCATGGCTCTGTGGCCTCTGGGAGAGAACAGGTGCATCAGGACATGGGCCAGGGCTGAGCTCAGAGTGTGCCCTCACCCTCCCCACCACTGTCCACCTCATGGATGAGGTATGACATCACATCTGTCCCCAGGTACCTTTCCAGGAGGCTGGGGTCAGCCCTGGGCTTAAGCAATTGGAGCCCAGGCTCTGAACGACAGCCCACACCGCAACAGGTCCGGCTCCCCGCCCAGCCCTGCCCACACCTACCTGCTGTGGATGCAGGAATTCTACCGCCACCAGAGGCCCACAGCAGCGCCAACCCCACCAAGAGTGGAGAAGCCCAGGGTAAGGGTCCCACCCACACGGCCTCTTCACTCACCTCCGTCCCTCTAAAGAGTAGCTCCCTGACAAAGGGGAAGACTCCCAAAATGATGTCTATTCCACTGTTATCTGCGAAAATTAAGGCACATTTATGAGGGGGCCCCTGTAAAACAAAACCAGGACGTTCAGTTGGGAACAGGTGCATCCAAGTGTTTCACACACCACCGCACTCCATGCCCCCGAGGGACTGGGCCCAGGGGCCTGAGGGTCCCAAGCACGGCAGGTGCTGGGGACAGGGCAGCCCGAGGGAGCCTGTGCCTGCTTCTTCCAGCATGGCAGGCCCAGAGGACTTTGGTGCTGAGGCCACCTGACCTGACTAGTGGTCACTGTAGGTCAGGCAAGGTACTGGCAATAGAACTCAGGGCCACAAGCATGCTAAGCAAGCACTTTTTCACTGAGTGTGCCTCCAGGTTGGGAGTGGGGACTTTTGACCTCAGACTCTAAGAGGCAGGAATGCCTGCTCTGCTGTGTCCCGGGCCTCCTAGGATAGCTCCACCCACCTCCCAGTGGCCTAATGTTCCTCAGTGACCACCTGCCTGGGCCTGGCCCCAAACTCTGGGTCTGTCTGTTCCCTGAGTGCATGGAAGGCAGCTCCACATACCTTTAATCTCTGGAGCCACTCGTTATAGGAATCCACAAGCCACGGCCGCTCTGCAGAGACAGGGGGACAGGAGTCAGGCAAATGCTGAGGAGATGCCACTGCAATGGCTTGGCTCATCTCTCCAGGGAGGTCCTCCCACTCCTGGAGCCACACGATGCTGGGCCCACTGCCCAACCTCTCCTACAGACACTGACCACTGCATGCAAGGTGCCAAAGCACAGGGACGTCATACCTTGTAATTTTCTCTTTGCTTCTTCAAACCCAAACTGGGACTCAGACTCGAGGACACTGCATGGAAGAGGAGGATACGAAGTTAAGCTCCTGACTCATGGCTATGTCATCCCCACCAGTTCCAGTGGTCAGCAAGACACAGAGGCCCCCTGAACACCGCTGAAGACAACAGCCAAGATTCTGAAGCTGAGTGTGAGCTCTCTAGAATGGCTGGGAGCTGTAGTGTCAGGCTCCTCCTATGACTGGCAGCCACAGGCACTGTCCCTGCTTGGTGAGTGCCACTCACACCACTCAGCCAAGCCTGGCAGCGAGGACCCTCCCCAAATGCCCTCAAACACAGTGTCCAAAACACACAAGTGGACCCAAGTGTGCCAAGGGGGCCTGAGACACCAGCATGCCCTGTTTGAAGGGCTGAGAGACCTGCCATGCGGCTTCTCCAGTAATTAAGGTAAATCAGGCCAGAAATGGCTTACTCTGAAGTCACCCTAATAGAGGGCACCTATGTGACTCAGGTACACACGCATCTCACATCAGGGCATGCTGAATTCCTTTCTCTACTGTATGTGAAAATGTGGACTTTGACCACGGAAAATATCAGTCTCAAATTTCAAATCTATGCCACTAGGCCTCCATTGCATCTGTCGGCACAGAGGGAGTGGCAGCCTGGAGCCCTGGGCAAAGCACAGTACCCCTTGCTGTCAAAGTGGGGCTGGTGCAGCCTATGGGTGGGACTGGCACATACAAGCCACAGGGCAAAAGGGAGGGGCCAGGCCGGGTAAAGGCAAGGACACCTACTCAGACACAGCCTTGGCACCCCAGTCGAACACATTTCCGGCCAGCAGCCCCTTCACGAGGGCCAGCTGCCGCTCCTCCCAACCTAGTGAGTCCAGGGAGCGTGTCACGTTCTGAAAGCACTTCAGTGCCAGGCCATTTTCTTTCTGCTTCACCTGTGGAAAAACACAAGCTGTCCATGACGAGCACAGATGTGCTGTCCCCACAGGGCCAAAGATGGGGGAGGCTTGCTGAGGACACAAGGGCGCTGACTGTCTCTCAGTACAACACTCCGTTGGGGGTTCAATATTCAGGCTTGACCCTTCCAGGTTGTGCCAGGTTAAAGTACTCCCTGATTCAGGGCAATGCACACATCTGCAAGACGCTGGGAAGGTGAGGCCCAGGAGTACTTTGGGTCATGTGACTGCACAGTCCAGCAAAGGTAGAAGGGTAGAGGACATGACCCCAGGGTGCCACTGGCCAAACCTCAAAATCTTCAACACCAGAGCTCCCATCCCAGACATAGTTGTGCAGAAGTCGGTAGGGATATGGTGAGGGATGGCAGTAGACACAGGGGTCAAGGGGCCCGGTTCCTGGCAGACAGCCAGGCAGGCAGAAACTTCTCCTTCTCATGGCTGATGCCCTTGCAGACCCGAGGGGCACTCGGCTCCTCACACAGGCAGCTGTGCCTCTTGGTGGGCCTGCCCAGCCCCTCCTATCTGTTCCCCTTCCTCCTACCCCCAGATCCTCAGCAGAGCTGCCCACTGACACCTGGTCATTGCAGTTCCATGATTCAGGTCTGTGGCCACCATGGGCTCATGGTTGCTATCAGACGTGCAATGCCTAGGCAGGACAGGGTACTGCTTCACGTACCACACCCTGGCCCTGGCCATTCGTCAGAGGCCTGGGAGGAAGCCCTGACCACAGCCTGCGGAGCTCACCTTGGAGTAGGGGTCTGGGAAGTTGAACTCATTCAAACAGTGCTCCCTCGTGTCCAGCAGGCTCCGAACAGTCAGTGTCCCATAAGCACTGGGGACAGAACCAGGGCATGGCTGAGTGTGACAGGCCTCACAGACTCCAGTAAAGCCCAGTGAGACTCTGGTGCATGGCCACAAGAGGCACAGAGGAGGCAGAGGGAACCACGTCATCTGGACCCTGCCAGGCCAGTGGGGGACCCCATGCTAACAGTGCGCTACTTCTCGGTGGCACAGAAGAGGTGGTCAGCTCAGGGATACAGCACTCACAAGGGCTGGTGTCGCAGTGTCTGCAGCTTGCTCCAGTATTTCTGCCGGAACTTCTCAGCCCTCTCAGCTGCATCCATGGACTCAGGCTGGCTGGCCACAGCACGCTTCACCACCTATCAACAGTAGGTGATCAGAGACTCCCTGCCTTGTCCCTAGGCAAATTTCCCCCAAGCAACCACAGGCCAATGGGGGGCTTGTGGGCCTGCCCAGCTGTGAAGCACAGCGTTGCACAGCAAGAGCCAAGGCCTCTGCAGAAATGATGGTGATAGCACATCTGCCTGGTGCTTTGCTATTTATGAGGGTTTTCCCCTTGCCATTCGCCCTGCCTCCACCCTGGGAGACAAAGCGGGGTTTCCCAGGCCTCAATGGGCAACTGAGAGGCACAAGGCTCAGATCTATGTCCTCAGATATGAGTGGCTCAGGGACTGAGGCTGGGTCCCTCACACAGGGCATGTCCAGTTATTCTCTGATGCTTTAGGGAGAGTGGGTGCTCCAACTATTGTTCCTAGGACCTTGAGCTGGAGTCAAATCCCTAAGCTCAGAGTTCAGCAGCTGCTGCTCCAACTCTGACCCCTGTGCCTCCCACAGGCAGCCATAAGCATGGTGCCTAGACTTGGTGCTGCCACCAGACAAAGTGCTGGTGTTGGAAAAGGTGAGAAAAACACAAGCCAAGCATGACATCTCCTGGAGCTCATGGGGACCATGGGGCAACCCTAACTGCTGTGCCTTCAGAGGTAGGCACTAAGGTTTGGACATAAAGTGTCCCCCAAAAAATCATGTACTGAAGGTACGTGGTCCCCCGTGCAAGCAGGGTTCAGAGGTGGGACTTTGGGGAAGTGATTAGATCATGAGCCTCTGCCTTCATCAATGGATTAATCTACTGATGGATCCAAAATGTAAACAGACGATTGGGAGATGGTGGATTTATTGTAAATGGGGCCTGGTTGGAGGAAGTATGTCACTTAGGAGTGTCATCTTGTCACTTAGGAGTGTCATCTTGTCACTTAGGAGTGTCATCTTGCCTTGCCCCCTTCCTGTCTCTCCCTCTCTGCTTCCTGGCAATAAATCCTTCCTCCTGTAAGTTGTTCCTGTCAGGTATTTTGTCACAGCAACAAAAAAACTGACCAACACAATCGGGTCCTGCAATTCCATTATGTGCAATTCCACTCGTGTCACAAGCAGAGAAATCGCTGGTATGATTGCACCTGCAATCCCCAGTCTTTGGGAAGCCAATGAGGACTGCGAGACCAGTCTGGGTTGTATCACCAAAATGCAGAGTAACCTACATAGTGGCTGGCTTTCTGCAGAGGCACAACAACCAGTGAAAGCATGTGGCATCTTATGAAAGCTGCCTAGCTGCCTAGCTGCCTATCGTCCTCCACTGCTCACCTGCTACAAGACCAGGAGACACGTTTTGCCTGAGGAACAGAGTTCCCCTCCCCATGTTCAAATCCAGCTCATGTGGCTTTTGGACAGTATCATTCTGCCCTGCTCCACCTCATCTTTACCCTGCCAAGTCTCAGAACGGCCCAGGTGTTCCCAAGACAACCATTAGAGATACACAGGCCTCTCGCCGTGTTTCCCCCTCACCCCATCCAGGGCCTCCTCGAAGCAGGTCAGCCAGTACTTTCGGGCCAGAGCATCGTCAGTGAGATCCACTGTATCGGGCACATAGGAGGATGGGTCCAGAAGGAGGGGCAGGTTGACCAGGGGTCTCTCTAGTCGGTCCATCTCTAGCAGGTCAAACTGGGAGGACAAGGAGAGACAGATGGAAACATCACAGGTTTTCAGAAAGATCACATGTTCTGTTGTAAGCTTTAGTATTGTCTAGAAGAATGAAAGAGATCCCCACCTTCCTTGTCGCTGCACCACAGGTGTGACCCAAATTTGACATCCTGCAGCCCCCCAGCCCCCCAAGCCAGCGCCTTGGACTCATCCCCTGGCCTAGCAGTGGGGTGGATCTACTCTGAAAGACTTCAAGTCTGCTCTCACCAGCCCCCTGCATCACCCACACCCACCTCACACCACTGCCCCCTGGTGTCACTCCCATTTCCACAGCAGCCGTGGCTCCTGAGCTGACCTTCTGACTGCCCTGGTGCCAGCTCATACCACTTCCTCATGACACTCAGACCCCGAGCTGCTGCTCTGGTCCTGAACATGCGCCGTGTCTGCTACCCAGGGCTAAGAATCTGCAGTGTTCACAAAGTGCCTGATGCAGTCTTGTCCCCACCATGAGCCCACACATCTCTTGTCCCTGCCCTGTCCTCCTCTCCTCATGCAGGCTCTGTCTGCAAAGTGCTGCAGGGCTGCTCATTGCACACTGGCCCCAAGTTATACTTCACAGCCACCAGCACCAAGCACACGAGTGTTTCTGGAATGATCACTTGCCCCACTGGCTGCTGCTTCAAATTGCAGCAGGAGTGTGTGCACAGTGGCTGGGGGCTCAGCAGCATGCTGAATGCAGTAAGCAGCTGCTCCAGGGCCAGAGGAAACATCAAGGGACACAGCACAGCCAAAAGTGACAGTGTGACCTCAGTTCCAGGGGCCATCTCATATTGCCCTCAGGTGGCTACTGGCCATGTCACAAACCTGGATCTGGGCCCTTCTCTGCACTCTGAGCAGGATCACTTGGACAGTAAGACCCACAGGGGGAGACTCTTGTGAAATATGGAAACACCTCTGTGAGGCAGGAGTTGATCAAGAGAGAACTGGAATTTCCAAACTGATGAAAGACGTACAGGAGTTACCTGTGTTAACCATTAATTAACTACACCATTAACTTCTACCGTGTTTTCCTTCCACTTTGCATGCCTCATGGTCTTTAAAGGCTCTGCCAGCCTTCCTGGCAAAAGGGCTTCAAACCTTAGCTCTGCCTCTTTGGCAATGAAAAGCTCAAAGAGAAGCCTGGTACCTACACATCTGTCAGCCTGTGCCTCTGTGGCAAGCCTCACAGCGAGTGCAGAGCTGCACGGATCCCAAGGGGCTGGGTGCAGAGCCAGCTTCAGATGCCACACTGGCGTTGCTCTCTGTCCTGGGAAAGCAGCCTGTACCTACTTCAGCACTGATAAAAGGGCCTTTGCCCATGGCATTATTTTACTCCAGAATCTAAGGAGCATGCATCCAAGCAGCCACTTGACAGATTAGAAACTGAGGCTGGAAGATAGTAAGCCCCATTTCTGAGTGGCAGTTCTTGCCTGCACCTGTTCCACAGGAAGGACAGGTATGCAGAAGGTGTGGCAGGACTGCCCTACATCAGCCAGGGAGAGCTGCTTCCCTCAGAACTAGCAGCAGCCTCACTTGACCAGCTGCCTTCGCCATTCCAACCTGCTCTTCCCCAATGTGCACAGTTCCTGGTAATTCTGAGCTACACAAGTCAGGTGCCAACTGGGATACGCTGTCATTTAGCCTCACAGCCGGTGAAATGACGATTCCCAACACAGTGGACACCTGGCTGGCAAAGGCCGGGTGGGCTCTAACCCAGGAACGTGGGCATGTGTCTCCTTGCCCACCAGCCTAACAGCACTTGGCCCACCACAGGCTAGGGCAAGTCCAAAGTCCAGACACAGAGGGCCTCACTCAATACAGACTTAAGGAATGGCTGGCACCATTCCCTACCAACACGAAATCATCAACAGAGAACGCAGACCAAGGGAAGGAGGCCACAGTTACTGCAGATCTGCTGCGAACCTGCTCTGCAAGCTTGGGGAGAAGCCTTCCGCCCTCTGGCCCCAGTGCTCTTGTGCTAGAGGGGCTGGACTGCACAGCCCTAGGCTCCTACTGGCAGCTATAGAAAGTAAGACCTAGTGTGTGGTCAGACTAAAACCATCTGTGTGGTGAGCCCCACAGCAGCAAGGGGCTTTTTTCAGGAATGAAAGAAGGTGCCCGTGCAGGCTGCTCATACAGGCCACTACTCACTGTGCCGCTCCTTGCCCGCTGTGTAGGGCACAGCTCCGGTGACGTGCTCATCAGCCCAGAGCTGCCTGCATAGTTCTCACCCCAGCTGTACTGGTTAGGATCTGGAAAAACGAGAAGCTGGTCACCGTGTCAGCCTCGCCTTTGATTTAAAAGGGGAAAGTGGGGGAGGAAAAGGGATAAATCATTTGTCTATTTAAACACTAAAAATACCAATTCTTTAAAAAAAAAAAAAAAAAAAAGCAATACACATGGGCTGGAGGTGCAGTCTAGGGATAGAGCACTTGCCTAGCATGAGTGGGGCCCTGGGTTCCATCCTCAGCACTTATAGAAGAGAAAACAAAAACAAAAACAAAAACCCATTCTTGTGGTTTCCTGAGGCATCTCTCCACCCTCCCCCAGGCCCTCTACCCCCACTGCCCTGACCTGGAACACAGGCCCCAGACCTGCATAGCTGCCACTGCTCAGGGGTGCACTGTGACACTCTACTTACTGTCTTGCTCGGCTCCTTTCAAAAATGCCCCAATGGCTCCCAGGTAGCCTTCATGTCTCAGGAACAGTGCCTGGACTTCTCCCTGCCGTGGCCAAGCCCACAGGTAGCTGATCAGCACTAGCAGCCTCAGCCTCTGAAAAATCGCTCACATACACTTCCCTGGGGACTGGACCCAAGTACCAGAGGACAAACTGATATCTAAATGACAGGAAAGTTTCTTGTAGGAAATTACTCCCACCCAGCTGCCCTGGCCCGTGCCAGGCTGCTTGTGCAGGGCACCTCCACAGAGCTGGCACTGCCCCATCTCACATGCTAGTCTGCAGCTTCTGGGCAGACCCCAGGCACCTCGGGCCCAGGTGAGGCTCTTATCAGTGAGGGACAGTCCTAGACTGCCCGTTAGCAGTAATGTGCTCACTCTCAATATGCAGAATGCCTAGAATTGGCCAGAGGGAAGGGACAGACTCAGGGAGGTTTAGGCAGGTGGCCACTAGGCCTCTTGGGAGCCTGTCCTCACAGGAAGCCCAGCTGCCAGAGATGGCGAATGTACCCTCTTCCCAGCTCCTCATACATAGTGCCCCTTTGGTCTGCTATGGATTCTGGCTGGGGTGTGCCATTTTTGGAGCTATTAGGGGGTGTTAGAGCAACGGGGATAAAGCAAGCTCCGAGCTGTGCCCTGGGAGAGGACGTGGGTCACAGTCACCTTGGAGAAGAAGTTGATGCTATAAGTGATGGTGCGCATGGTCACAGGGTGGCCCCGGATGAAGAAGCCTCCGAAGTACACCCTGTCCAGGCTGTGGAGCTTGGCATAGAGGCAAGCGAGCTGCCCGATGTCATTGCTGATCATGTGCAGTAAACTCTTGGCCATGTCTTCTTTGGAGAACTCTGGGAGGGAGACACAGAGCCCAGGGCGTGACGTTAGCACCGGGGCTGGGGAAGGCAGGGCTCTGAGGGTGTGAGACTCAGTCCTGAGTGTCAGGACTTGTTTTCAAGGGGAAAGAAACAAACCACTTTTCCTAATTCGTATTTCCTCAGAAACAAAGATTGTTAGAACTTGTTTGCCGAGCTCTAGTGAGCACTAAGCAGGCTTGCTGCAAGTATGGTGTGTGCGAGTGGCTCCAGAGCAACCGGAGACCTCATCTCTTCACATCACTGGGCTACACCCAGGTCATCATAAGCCCCTCCATTTGGGGCAGAGGCCTGGCAGGTACCTCTGTCGGCAGTGGCCGACTTCCCAAAGCTGCTTGCGATGAGGTTGCCGCTCAGCCCCAGGGTCTGGTGGGCCCCGCCATAGATGTCTTGCACCAGCATGTCCACATTGGCGTGCTGGCCCCTGGAGGCCAGGTGCAGCAGCTCATCGAACTTCTGTAGGGGCAGAGCAGAGTGGTGAGGTGCCAAGCAGCAGGTGAGATCCCCACTAACCTGGAAACCAAGTTCTTAAAGGGAAGCAAGCTGGGCCGGCCAGGAGCAAACAGCCCTGCCTTAGCACATGGGACCAGAGACAGTAAGGTGAATTGGAAGCCGCAGGTCACCTAACCAGTGGTACTTGGGCAGCTTGGACCCATTCTCCAGAGTGCAAGCAGCTCAACTATGGGGTCCCGAGGCTGTACACAGAGTCAGAGCAAAGGCCTTGAAAAAGCCTTGTTACAGTAACCTAGCTATAGCCCTTCCTGAGAGACCCTGGAAAGCAGAGGTTTCTGCAGACCAGAAGCCCCTTCTGCAACTGCTGGAATACCTTTGTTTTGGTGAGCAGCGCCCCAAGCCCCCAGAAGGTGCCACCTCCAATGGAGCTGCCTCCGATCCACTCGAACCTGTCTTCCGTCTCCACCTGGGGCAGAGCCAGGGCAGGTGAGTCAGCAAGCGGCTGTCAGTCATAGAGGCCACAAGGAGCACAATGGTCAGTCATCCCCCACCCCCTCCCCAAGAGCTGCCACGGGGGAGCACTCTCCAAGGCTGCGTCTAGGTGGCACTGATGCTGGTAACAGGACCCGGATGTCCCTCCAACAATGGCTCTGTGGGCTGGAGGCCTCATCTTCATGAAATGTGTCAGGTCTGTCCCTGTGCCTGGCACTGGTGCTGACATCAGCTCCAACACAGCATGTATAATGAGCGGCTGAGTCACTTGCTTATCTGTCCTGCAGAGTCTCACCTTCACGATGGAGACGCCAGAGCCGATGTTGACCAGGAGGTATGGGAAGATGTTGGGGTGATTTGTCTGAAATCGGAACTCAGGGTTGGAGTCTTTCTGATACATGAAGGCCTCGTGAGGGATGTTCTTCAACACAAAGTTACACCCCTTTATCAAGCAGGTCATCACGTCTTCTTTGTCCACTCTGGAAGGGAAAAAGCCCAGCCACTTGGAGCAGTCCCAGCCCCAAAGGAGACAAACCATGGAGCAACTGGAGGTGATGGTGAAAAGCAGCCAGGCTATGCCTAAGGTCCACCTGGATATGCTGCCCCCTGGCAAGCTGGACACTGGCTTCTCAATTTGACAGCTCTGCCTTCAGCAGCAACCCCTGCCATGGCCCCACTCACATACAGCACCAGAAACTGCACAGAGGGTCCAGTTCCCACCTGTCCACACCACACCCACAGCAGCCAGCATGAGGCTGCGTGTCTTCCCTTCTCGGCCCCCACTTACTTCAGCTGCAGCTTCTCCTCAATGAGGTCCTTGAACTTGTATGCCCCGCCCCCTGTTGCTTGGATGACCTTTGTCTCTGTGTTGACCAGGTGGTCTTTGATGAAGTCCAGGCAGGCTTCGATATAGGTATTCTCAAACTTGATGAAATGCAGACGAGCTGTGATCTCTTCCTGAACCGAGATCTCGTAAGGTGGCTCGTGGTCCTGCTCTGTGTCCTAGAAATAAGTTGGGAAGTCTGCATGGGGTATGGAGGCAACAAACCCATCTGGTTGTGAGAACCCCAACCCCAGTGTGTTGGCAATTGCGTCATCCATAAAATACAAATAATGCTGATGTCAACTTGGGACCCAAGGCAGAGTCCTTGGGCAGGGTGGGGGTGAGGGGAGTATCTGAGACCTGAAAAACCCAAGCTGGGAAGAATAATTTCCAAGGAGTGGGGACGAGGAGCTATTCCTATAAAGGTTGGAAGGGAAACTGAGCAAAGGAAGGTCATCAGTATTAGAGATGATGTATATGAGCAGCAGAAGGACAACAAATGAAAAGTGACAACGCCAAGTCCAAGGCCACAGAGAAGTGATCACTCTTCACTGTAGAACCATCCACACATGTGGCCACCTGCCTGCCATGAAGCTCACCTTTCCTGGGTAGTCAAAAGACCTCACTTTGGCCACTTTGTGCTGCACTGTTGAATAGTAGGCCAGCTTGGTTAAGGATCCACCTACAAGGGGAAGACACAAACCGAGCAAAATTCAGAACCGGGATGAAGATCTGGAGATCCGTCCTCCGAGGAGCTCTCTGGGGAATTTCAATACTTCAGTGCACGGCCTCTTCCTCGAGGACTGGAGTCTCTGTGGACAAGGCGTTTGTTGCTATGTGAACTTAAAATCCCTGTGGGCACAAAACAGAGGAAGGAAGAAATGAACCATCAAATTAGAACACCTCTTCCTTTAGAAGTTCTGTTTTCCCTCAAGTCCCTAGCCACCCTGAGTTCAAGATTTCCCTCCTGCATGCACAAAATCCTACAGCAGAAAGGCAGACATCCTGCATCCTGTGCAAGTGCTCTGATCTTGACAGTGACCCAAAGAAATGAGCTAAGGCATCCAGAAGGTTTTCACTTAAAGAAATGCAAGGTCAGCCACCCATCACGACAAGTGGGGCAGGCAGAACACAGAGCATCTTCTCAGGTGCACAGAGAGCAGCAAGTGGCTTTCATTAATAGGTAAGGACTAGGGCCAGAAAACAGCTCTTGCCCCTCAGGGTGCTCTGAGCTGGTGGTGAGCTCCAGTAAAGGCAAGAAGCCTGTTTGCCTGAGACACACTTCAGAAAAAGCTACCAGGAGTCCCTGAGGAGGCATTGCCAGAGATAAGTCAGGGCAGGCCTTCCAGGCAGAGAAAAGGCACTTTTGGAGCTACAGCTGTATTCACAAATTCAGAGTCCCTCCAATGACAGACAGGAAAAACAGAAAGGTCAGAACTATGAAAAGACTTCAACAAACTGCTTTTCTCACATGGCCTGACAGGAACAAGGCAAAAATCTTTCACTAGGACAGTGAGAAGGCTACAGTTATTTTTCTACAAGGTTGTTTTGTGAGAAAATACCAAGAGAATACATGAGAGCAGAACTCAGGTCTGCACACAGATTTGGAAACATAAGTGTCTAAAGGCAAAGTGCTCCAACTTAATAAAATCAAGCCACCTTTTCTGAGATCTACGGCAGCCTGTCCCATCTGAGCTCCCTGCCTGACAGTCTAGTAGCCTTGTTTGTCAGGCCGTAGACAGACCCATGTTTGGCTTAGTGAACATGTCCCAGGTTTAATCTCATTCCCTGGCCCATGGTCGCCCTAAGCCTCTGGATCCCTCCTCTATGCCCCCAATCCTGGCCTGTACCCAGGGTCTCACTAAATGCTTGTTGTCCAATTCCCCTTTTTGAATAAATCTTTTCCTAAGAAGATACATGCTCCAAAGGGGCATGAAGATGGATTTTAAGAGACTCACCAGAAGTTACTACAGACAAACTCCCAGGTCACAGAACCTTTAACTCATGCCTAAAATAGATGCTGGGGTTTGGGGTGGGAAGGGGGTGGGGTGGGGGAAGTTGCCAGTGGGGCGGGCAGAATGGTTTCTGTAACACCTCCACAATGTCCAGCCTTGAGAAGTCTGTCAGCTGAGCACCTGTGGCTCATGCCTATAATCCTAGCCATTTGGGAGGTTGACATCAGGAGGATCAAAATTCAAGGCCAGCCGAGACAAATAGTTCAAGAGACCCCCCCATCTCCAAAATTACCAGAGCAAAATGAACTGTAGGTGTGGCTTAAGCCGTAAAGCACGTGATTTGCAAGTGCGAAGCCCTGAGTTCAAACCCCAGTCCCACCAAAAAAAAATCAGTCAAGATGAAGCTGTAGCTGCCTGCTCCCCACCAGAGAGGGAGCAGATGTGGCCAGGGGTCCCTGTCTGACAAGTGCTGACGCACAGCAAAGCTGGCTAGGCACATTCTCTGTGGCCTCTGGGAGCTAGCCCTCTCTGCTCTGAGGCTTGAAGTGACCCGATGACTTGGGGGGTGGGGCTTCCCAGAGGTGCAGTCACCTGCCCGACACCAGGCCCAGGCGCCATTCTTCTGCTACTTTCTCTTGCCTTGTCTTTCCACTTTGGACACCAAGGAAGGGCAGGCAACCTGGTACACACCACTGCCCTGGGACCCCTTCCTTCCCAATGGGACCCTCCCCACCGCTTGCAGAAACCTGAAGTCAGGTCAGAGCTTCCAGTATGTTTTGATAAACAAAATGTCCCTAGTGCTTTCAAAGAAGTCAATCAACCCAGCTGACATCAGTGTCCCCATATGAAAGAGAAAAAGGGCTCGCCAAGAATACAAAGTAGGTGCAGTTTCCTGGATCCAGAGACTTGGGTAAGGGAAGAGGAAATGGGAGAAGGCTCTTTTTAAACAACGCTGCTGACAAGCACACTGGCTTTGTGGATGCCTGTGTGCCTGGTCTGAGGATCCCCACCCTGAGCTATGACCTTCCATCAGCTGCAGCAACAAAAGGCCTGTCCTCACCAACAATAAGTATATCCTTTTAAGACCCAGACCCAGGGGGAGCTTTCAGGGGAAGTAAATACTAAAAATATCCCAGCAGTGTCCTTTTGCCAAGAAACCCCCTGGAGAGTAGGCCCATGCTCCAGAACCCTTAAGGACTAGGGCAGCCTTCCCACCACAGCTTGGCTCTGTGGCTATTTGTTTGTTGGCCTCTAGGGCTCCATTTCCCTGGCTGTCCCCTAGGTGTCAGTCAATGTGACTGCCTTTCAGATACATTTAGTTTTGACTTGCTCCCACGAAACAGAACCCCTATGCATAAGGGGACAGGAGAAAGCACACACCCTTTCAATCCATGTGCCTCACTGTGGTGAAGGTCTCAGAAGCCTGGGGGAAGGGCTGCCTCTGGAGAGGTCTGGCTGTGGACAGTACCCACCCCCTCCACCCAGCCTGCAAGCTCACCACCTCCAGACTGACATTAGAAGTCACCAATCTGTCAGGTGTTTCTCCAAAAAGCTTCTCATGTGCAATCTCACCTGCCACCAGGCCAAGCCCCCCAAAAGCACCACCGGTGATGCCACTGCAAGGTGGGATCTCATCATTACCGGCTTCCCAGAAGGGTACACTCCTGCCGGGATGGGGGATTTCAGACACATGAGGGCAGGGAATGCATTCAATGTCCAAGAGGCAAACAGCAGAGGAGACCAGCCTGCCACTGCCCAACTCTGCCAAGGAGGCCAGAAGGAGTCAGTGGCACACCCATTCATTCAAGAGGATGCCCAGAGACAGAAGGCTCTCCTGGGGCTTCACGTCCCCCGCTGGCATCAACCTGCGCACAGGCTAACAGCTTGCAGGAGACCGACGCAAGGCCCCCTAGGAATCCACCCAACCTGAAACAGACGGAGGAGCAGAATGGGTGAGAGTTGGCCGGTTCCCATCCGGGTGACCGTGAGCCACTCCTGAGTGTCTTAAGTGTCCCTATCTGCAAAACGGGCGATGCCAGCACCCCTTCAGGGGCTTGCTGGGAGGTGTGCGGGAGCCCAGCGTGGGAGGAGTGTAGGACAGGCCTCCTGCGGGTCAATACTTAGGCCAGCAACCACCAGGCCCGCAGGAGAAGGTGGCTCGAAGGTCTGGCGAAGCCTGAGGAGGCGGAAGGTATACAGGCCCCCCAAGACCCCGAGAAGACGCGGTCGGGGTGGAGGGGAGGCTTTTCATCCAGAGCGCGGCGCGAGTTCCCAGGTCTCGCGTCCACATCGGGTGGACTCCCGCCAGCTGTCAACTGTCGAGGGAGCCGGGCTCGCGCGCACTGGGCTGCGGAAGGGCTGTGCCGAGAGCCGTAGCCGGCCAGGCTTTGGGGTCTTTCCCGAAGAACATGTCCCCAGCCGTGCCTTCTGAGGCGCCCCCAACCTCCGGCTGTGGCCGAGAGGACTACGAGTCCCGGCATTCCTCGCTTTGCCCGCCCAGTGCCTGCCGGGAACTGTAGTCCTGCTGCTCCTCACTAACCCAAGCAGGAGGGCCCCGAGGACTACAAGTCCCGTGGGGCAGTGCGGCGACCCGTGGGGCTGCGCGAGCGGCCCGCGCCCCCGCCCTTCGTCCTTCCCGCCGCCCCCGCTCACCGCCCGCCGCCCGCGCCGCCGCTCGGGTCTCCCGCTCCAGAGCCCGGCCCGCGACTACCTATATCGATGGCGAAGCGCTTGGCGTTCTCCAGATTGCGGAAGATTTCATCGGGGGGCAGCGTGATGCTCTTGTCCAGGCTGTCCCCGCTGCTCCCGCCGCCGCTCGCTCCACACTCCGCCATTTTGAAAGTGCCCGGCCACCCTCATCAGCCATGGAGATATATGCGCATATATTTGACTGCTAAACGCCCCGCGCGCATATATTATGCTAATGAGCCCCGCCCCGCCCCGCCTCTCTCCGCTTGAGGGCCGGCTCCCGCCTGTGCAGGACTAGGGCTGGGGACACCCGGACTGTGGAGGAGTGGGCTGTTAATCCCCCAGAGGTGGCGCATCAACACAGAACATCTGGAATGTTTTTGTTCCTTCGCGGAGCTGGCCAGATGTTAGACCTAGTGTTCTGAGCCCTCTTCCAGGAGGCCCCCTGGGTCTGGTACTTGCTGCTGTGAACTTTGCCCTGCAAACTGCGGAATGTCATCCGTGTTCCCCAGGAACGTGGACTTTCAGTGTTAAGATTCTCATGCAAACTGGAGGAGTTGAGGACCCTGCACTCAAGGAGTCCCCAGCCCCGTGTGTCATGCACCTGCAGTTGGGGGAGTTGTGCACTTGAACGGCAGTCTGCAGAGTGCAGGGCGAAAGGAGTGGAGGCTGCCTGGAAGAGGACACCTTCTGGCAAGACAGGGATTCTGGAAGGCTGCAGGGAACAAGCTAAGGAAGCAACCCATGAAGAACGGCGGTATAAGTGGGGGCAGGGCAGGGTTCCAGGGTCAGTCATACATAGAGCCTTGGCTGGCTGGAGCCCCTTGAGAAAGACATGTCTTCCAGAAGCCCTGGGCAATTTGGAAAAGAGCCCAGTGTTGGAGTCAGACAACATACCCTTTAGCACCTGCCTCTTTGGTGACTCTGGGCAGGTCATTTAGTGTCTGGCCCTTAGCTTTTGTCTGCAAGCTGAGGATGTCACTAGGTGCCTGGCAGGTTCCTGAGGGCACAGACTCCCAGCTCAGCATGTCAGGCAAAGCTTCAGGGAGGAGACAGCCTCCCCTGTGCCTTCCTAGGGCATGGGTATACTGCTCTGTGTGGGTGAACCCACTGCTGGCAGGCAGGTCTGCTCCCGAGAGTGAGGACCTCACAGCTCAGACTCTGGCATCAGGGTGTGCCTGGCCACAAGGGCAGCAGTTGCCTCTCACCAATGATTGGAGAATCACTGATGTATTGCTGTTGTGCAATAAGCATGCAGAATGAATGGGGACTCTGTCTTCTGCTCACCACACCCTGGGGGCTCAGCAGGGACCCCAAGAGGCCACTGGTAGTCACTGGGCTAGTGGACTGGAGTGGTGCCCTGCACAGGTATTCTCTGCAGAATAGACAGAAAAGGACAGGAGGTGGGGGGGAGGGGGACAGAAGTACTGATCAGGAAGGCACAAGAGCAGGTTGGTTCCCATGTCTGTGACTTGTCACTCAGAAAATATGTGGACACACCCAGCTCCTTCCCACTCTTTGAGGAGTCTAGGCATCTGGGAACTGTGGTTCTAGACTCACCCACTGTGCCTGCCTAAAAATAACTGCCCTTTCTGAAGCAAAAGATCACCCCTAGTAGGTTCATGCCAGCACTGCCATGGTTGGCCAGCCTGTGGGGCGGGCACCTGTGGATTAGCCAAGCAAGTACCCTGGGGGCACCTTGGGATAAGTGCTTTAGAGCATGGATGTGGGGGGGCAGTGGCTGGGGGCAAATGCAAATGTTTTCTCCTGTTTGGCCCAGCCAAGTCCATTTTTGTTGTAGCAAGAGATACACTGTGGCCCTTGGTTCTTTTTCAGTGGACAGCTGAAGGTCCTGTAGCTATCACTTTGCTCCCCACCCCCTACCCCCACCCGGAACGGGGAACTAGTGAAAAGCTGGGGCAGACACCCAGGTCTCTTCTGCACAGTGAGCCAACAGTTCTGCGGGCCTTTCCCCTTCCTGCCTCTCCTCTGCTACTGTGTCTTTCATCTTCACTTCCCCTCTCTCCCTACTTCCCTCAGTCAGGACCCAGCTCTTCTTCCTGTGTCCAGAGGGTCAATGGCAAGCACCCCTCCCCACCATGGTTTCATAGCATAGTAGGGCCTACACTGGTTCACCCTGCAGGCCACCCTGTGGCTGCCAAGAACAGATGTGAGGCACAGACAGTGGAGGTCTTGACAGATTTTATTAGATGCTTTCAGAGTAATCCGTGGACTCCCACGTGACTGAGTTTAAATTCTAAGTACAAAGTCGTGCCCACATGCACCCACCCACACGAGAAATCCTTTAAGGATCATAAAGGAGACCCCACCCTCCCCAAACAGCCCACTATGAGCTCCCACCAGACAACCAAGCCCATGTGACCATACCCATGGTCCTTGGTGTCCATGCAGGCTGAACTACTTTCCTATGAGGATAACACCTGGAGTTCCGCCTTCACAAAAGGCAAGTGTGCCCACAGCACGGCCCGCCTGCGGTGTGCTTGCCCAGCAGCAACGGGCCCTGAAGAAAGTCCTCTACAGGCTGGGGTGCCAGCAGGCAAGCCCCTGACCCTACAAATATCATAGAACCCCGGTGACCGGGGACTTCCCAGAAGTCACTTGCTGAAATGCAAACACAGAACAACCCCAAGGGGTCAGACACTTGGCAGAAGGTGGGCCTTGATTATCCTAAAATGACAACGCCTCTGCACACACATTCTCTGAGAATGACCCTCCTGCTGGCCCGCCAGCCTAGAGAGGGAGCCTTCCGGGGAAGGGTGCGTCCAACCTGGGGCCGGACTGCGGCTGGGAAGGTCTTCCCTACTCGCGAGAGGAACGGGCTCGCCCTCTGGTTCTCGTGGGGCGTCCATCGGTCGCCAGGTCACCAGGGCCGCCAGAGGCCGCAGGCGGGCTGGCGCGCGGCGGCGGAGGCCTTGGCCGAGGAGCGCGCGGGCGGGGGCGCAGCTCCGGGCGCCTGGGGCTCCTTGGCGGGCGCTGCGGGCGCAGCCGGGGGCCGCTGGAAGTGGTAGAGCAGCTTCATCTGCGTGTCGCTGGCGGCGTGCAGCGTCAGGAACTGCACGGCCTCCTGCAGGCACCACGAGTAGCCCTCGCTGTAGTCCTGGTGCAGGCTCTTGGGGCCGGCTGCCGCGGCAAAGGCTGCAGGGAGACAAGGCGGCGTTAAGCCGGGCCCGGGGCTCGGGCGAAGGGGCGAAGGGGAGCGCGGGGAGCGCGACTCACCTTTGCTGTGCTTCAGGTAGCTGACGGCCATCTCCAGGATGTCGGCCTTCTCCAGTTTGGAGTTGGGCTGGTGCCGCGCGAACTCCTGCTCCAGCAGCAGCTTCAGCTGCTCGATGCTGCTGTTGATGCGGTCCCGGCGCATCTTCTCCACCACCGGCTTTCGCAGCTGCGGGAAGGAGAAGTGTCAGGAGGGCCAGGGCCATGGGGGACCCGACGGCGCGCCGGGGCCACGGGGGACGCGACCGCGCGCCAAGTGGACTGGCACTTACTCGGTTTTTCTCCTTGGGGCTGAGCATCTCCACCGCTACGGTGCTGGGAGCCATGCCTGCCGCGGAGGAGACCAGAGACGAGCGGAGCGGAGCAGGCAGGGCCAGGCGTCCCGGGCTGGCGCGGACACAGCTCCGTGCGCCGGCCCTATATAGGCGCGGACGGCGGCCTGGCGCCTGGGGCCCGGGCGCCGCGGCTGTTCCCACACTCGGCGGCCAATGGCGGCGCGGGCCGCACAAAGGCTCCGGCCCATTAGCGCACGCTAAATTGCCTGTGAATTGGCGCGGGCACAATGGGCGCTCCCCGAGGAGCAGGTGGGCCGCGCGGCACAATGTCCGGGCTGTGGGAACGCGCTTGCCCTCATTAGCATCCCGGGGCCTGATGCTGGGAGCCCCGAGCCTCAATATGCTGCCTTTTCCCAGGCCGCGGGGAGGGGGAGGGGGCAGGAAGGAGCGACCCCCCCCCAGCCGCGCCCCTCCTCTCCCCAGCGACTCCCCACTGCTGGCTGGCAGAGGCCACAGGCGCAGATTGGAGAAAGCTGTAGAATTAACAAGTGCAGCGGCTTCCAGGGGAGCGGGCACCCTCCCTGATGGGGACCTGCTGCCCGGGCAAAGGGAACAGAGGGGGCCACACTGTCCTGGAACAGGTGCTCTGTCACCCGTCCACAGATGGAGGGTGAGAGAGGGACTAAGATCTCAGGATCAGCCCTACTGGCCTTTGTTGCCAGTCTCTGGACTGTCACCCGGGACTGGCGACTTCTTTGCAGTTAGAAATAGGCTGGCACACCTCCCTGGCTAGTTTTGGGCAGCTTCAGGGAGCCAGGATATGTGAAATGCCCAGCACCAAGTTCCACACCTAGAAGCCCCCCAGGAGTCCCTGCACCACCCTGGCCCTAGCAGTTTACCAGGCAGGGCTGCTGTAGGGTCATCAAGTGCCCTCTGTCCTCTCTCCACCCTAAATCTGGCCTGGAGTCCCACCACAGCATCCCAGAGCAGGAAGCCCCAGCTCCTGTGCGCGGGTGTGGTCACTGCTTATGCGGTGGGAAGTGATGAGTGACAGCACGTCATCCCTCTGCACAGCCTGGGGGCACCTGCAGTTCGTTTTCCTCAAGCATTTTGCCTGTGGGAAGACATGAAATCAGAGTCCACACAGCCCTAGGGTCCCTTGAGAGGAGCTGATAATCTTGACCCCACTGGCATCTTTGGGGGCCAGTCTTACTCTGGCCACCAGGACCCCCCCTCCACTCCCCCCACCCCTGGAACAGTCAAATTCCTCTGATTCTCAGCAGCTGGTAGGAGTCCAGTGGTCCTACCAGGACTGAGGGAGAGGGGGCCAGAGCTGCCCCCTAGGAGCAGATTGGGGGCAAGTGGAAGGGAGGACCTCAACCCCAGAGCCAGAGCTGGTCAGAACACTTGGGCCTGAGTTTAAACCCAGGATCTGAGTTCCCAGATGGATGGCAGGCCCATCTGAATGTGGCTGGGAATTTCAGGGCTTATCAAGGATCTGATCAAGATACGTGCTTTACCCCATGTCTTGACATTGACCCACAGCTACGATGAGGTTTGGTGGGCCTGGCATCAGGAGTCCCTCAGCACAAGGAGCCATTGATTACCTGCAGATAGACCTGTCCAGGACAAGGAAAGGCTTGCTTTAAGGCAGCACAGAATGGCCCTGCATGGTCAGCTATTCATTAGGATGGGTGCCCGTACTCACCTGTCTCCCAGACCCCACACCACCCACATCACCCTGAGCTTTGAGCAGATGGGATCCTAGCATGACACTCTGGCCTTTGTTTGATGTAAAAGAGCAGAGGGCACCTTGCAACTCCTGAGATGAGCTTCCAGGCCATAGGCCCATGTCTTGGCCTCCACAGCCCCAAGAGCTGGCAGTGGTTAGCACTGTGGGGATGGGCAGGCGGGCCCCACAGACTGTAAGAAGTGACCCAGTGATGCTCAGTGGAGCTATATTTTTGCAGCCAGCCAGAGAGGTTCGTGCTAGGTGGAAGTCACATTTGGATATGTCCTGGATGTGGGCTTTCTGGGGGACAGCAGGGTGACTTAGTCACCTGTGCGCCAGCCCAAGCCCAGAACTCTGCAGGTTCTTGGCAGAGGGCTCACCAGCCCTGAACCCAGGCTGCCTCTGGCTACGACCTCTGCTGGTTGGAAACAGGTTCTGAACCCACGTGAGTGTGCCCTGATGGCCTGCCTGGCTGCTGGCAGCTGCACCCAGATGTGTGGGGGGCAGTGGCATCCTGGCCAGACCTGCTCTCCCCAGGCCTTGGAGGGGACATTTGACTGGGGCTCTGTCCTGTTCTCCTGGTCTCCTCCCCCAAGCCAGCTCCTGGGCCCAAAGGAGACACGTGCCAGGAGATGTGGTCCAGCCTCCACCCCACCCCAACTGCCCGCCCACCCGTGGTGGGCCAGGAAGGCAGCCTGCTGGGGGTGAGGGTGGTGGGTGGGCCATGGGGGGGGCTGCTTCCCTCCTCCCCCCCAACCAGAGCAGCTTTGATCCAATTTTCAGTTGTGGGAAATATGAAATGAGTGGGATTAAATCCCAGCCGGATGAAAGACTGGTTCCCTCCCCGAGTGCGGGCCAGATGGCAGCCCAGGCGGCCTCCGAGGCACACGCCTGGCCTTTGTGGGCCATTTAACACTGTGAATGGGGCCAAAGTGTGGGAAACTCGCTGGGCTCCTGGCTCACACCAGCCCACGTGAGTAGCTGGGAGGGGGACGGGGGTGAATGCTGCTTCATGCTGGCGGGCTTTGCCGCGCAAAAGCACTACAGAAGGTGGGGGGGGGGGCACGAACTTGGATCCTCTGCCTTGGCTGCCCCTAGCAGTACAAGGTGGAATGGGAGGTCTTTTCCCCCAGCTGGGCTCTGAGGAGGGAGGGAGTTTGCCATGCCTGCACCTCCCAAAGCCCCCACCTGGAGGGCTCAATAAGTCTGAGGGGCCCACTAGTTGGGGTGGGGGCACTGTCTGGAGTTGACAAGGCCACTCACGTTGAGGCATGGCATTTTGTTGTAGACTTGGGGGGTTCCTGGCAAATCCCACTAGTCTGACATGGTTATGCTGGAATCCACGAATTTAGGACCCAAACCATTTCTACATTAGCCTACATTCTCCCAGACTGACTGCAAAACCCAGAGTTCCCCGGGCAGAGAAGGGGCCTTGGTGAGGGTGGAGAGGCTGCAGGGATTTTGGCTCTAATGGAGGATTTCTGTTTTTTTTTTAATTGAATTCATGTTTAATAATTATAGGCACTGTGCCCCTGCCCAAAGGAGGATTTCTTGTTGGCCTGACAGCAAACTCTGCAGCACTGTGATAAACAGTTTGACAGGTTCTCAAAAAGTATTTAGACTTTAAAAATGAATGAAAGGAATGAAATAGGTTCAGTTTGGGAGTGGGTGTCAGTGGGAGGGGAGGGCAAAAGGAGAGGTGAACGTGGTCAGAGTACTTTATACACATGTATAAAAACAGAACAATGGAACCTGTTAAGATGTGTTAGGGAGGAGGGGGATGAAGGGAAGTGACAGAGGGGGTAAATTTGATGAGGTTCATCTTATGCATATATGGTAATATCCCAGTGAAACCCCTTTGTACAACTAGTATGTGCAAATAAAAAGGTAAAAACAATTAAACAAAATTAACATTTACCTCATTAAAAAAAAAGTCATAGAATTACCATGTAATCCAGCAATTCCATTTCTGGTCTGTATCCCCAAGAATTGAAAACAGGGACTAAAATAGATATTTCCACTGTCATAACAGTATTATTCACAATAGCCAAGAGAGAGAAGCAACCTAGGGGTTAAAAAAAAAAAAAAAAGAGTCACATATCTATACCATGGAATATTACTCAGCCTTAAAAGAACATGGGAATTCTGACACATACCACAACGCAGATGATCCTGAGGACATTGTGCTGGGGAAAAAGCAGCAAAAAGACAATTCAGTATGACTACCTGAACTACCCAGCCTCTACACCACCTAGACTAGTCACATTCATGGGCATTCATGGACAGAAAGCAGGGTGGCTGCCAGGAGCTGGGGGACAGGGAGGCAGGGCCTCGGTGTTTAAAGGGAGATGAAAATGGGTGATAGTGATGCCTGTGTAACGTTGTGTTCTTAACACTACTGAACGACACTTAAAAATAGGTAAGCATGAGCTAAAGGTGTGGCACCTGCCTAGCAAGCATGAGGTCCTGCGTTCAAGCCCCAGTGCTGCCAAAAACAAGCAAACAACAACAACAAAAAATGGGTACGATGGTTAAGTTTTATGTCATATGCATTTGCCACAATAAAAATAAAGGACTTTTTAGAGAGGGGTCCCAGGGCTCTCCCAGGACTGGTCTGGAAGAGGCATGGCTGCACCTGTCCTGCCTCCTGCTCACATCTGCACTGTCCTGCCCCGCCTGGGTCTGCAGGGCAGCAGTGTACAGCAGTGAGACTGCTGGCTCCCAGGAGGTGCTGGGCTTCCCTGCCCAGCTGCTTCTGGTTCCCAAGGGCTTTCCATGGGCAATGTGGGGGACAGACAGGATAGGGGAGTACAGGAACCAGGCTGGCCTTCTGGGAAAGGAAGGAGGGAAAACCACAGTTGTCTCCCGGTTTTTCCCTCCTCTGATCCAAAAACCCATTGCTTAGGGTTGGTGGGTAGAAACTGCTGGGTTTTGTAGAGAGTCGCACTGCCCAGGAGCTGGGGACAGGAAAGTGGCCCTATTGCATATGGTAGGGACAGCATCGCCCATGTCCTGGTCACTGCAGGCTGTGCAGTGCATAGCTTGTGACTTGCACCCTTGGAGTTGTACCTTGCTGTGGCTCCTGTCCAGGACCCATCCAGCCCTCCATCACTGACCAGCTCACCTGCTGCAAGGAAGCACCCACGTTTCTCCAGGTGGACAAGGTACAGTCACCCCACCTATTAAGGACACTTGGGCAATGGAGTGGGGCAAGTTCCCATGGCTGTGGAGGACCCAGGATCTAGAAGGGGGTCCATCTCTCCTTGGGGCTCTAAACAGGAGCTGCAGTTGAGTGGGTGGGGGTAGTAAAAGCCCCCACGTTACTGCACATCTACAAAGTACCAGGCATGACACAGGATGGTGACTTAGACCAGCAGGCGAGGGGAGCACCTCTGTCCTCAGTTCAGAGTCCAGGGTCTGAGGGTCTCAGAGGTCAAGTGGCCTGCTGAAGCTATGTGTACCATGGATCAGCTAACACGATGAGTCAACACTGTTGAGCACTTACGCACTTTTGTATCATTCTCAATTTAGACTTAACTGTAAGGCCCTTTTATGTGTGTGCTGCCAGCCTAGAGAGATGGGTGAAGGCCTCGGCTGGGATTTGAACTCTCAGTGTTTGCTTTTTCTCCTTTCAGAGCCTTAGAGAAATGTGGAAGTGGCGAGAGAGAAGCTAGGGAGAGAGGGTCCAGGAGCAAATGTGAGTGGCAGTGGCGGTGATTGGGGGAGCTGGTCCCTGGGAGGGGCCGGGCCTTCTGCGGGTGGAGGGATGGCACAGACCTCAGCCCAAGCTCCATCCCGAGGGGCATCCCCTGGGTGCAGGTGAGGGCACCGCATCCACCAATCCCATTAGGAGCCCTTGCTCTATATGGCAGGTGGTTGGTCAGCGGTGACCAACTCGTGGATGAAGGGTGATCACAGTGTGAAGGCGGCCAGTGAGGCTCTAGTGCTT